CAAAAACCCTACAGATTACAATGAACTTAAAGACAAGAAGCTTGAAACTTTCCCACCAAGATCAGGAACGAGGCCACAGTGTCTTTTCTCACCGATCCCTTTCAACATCAGACTGGAAATACTGGATAATGTAATAAAAAATGAAAAGGAAATAAAAGACATACAGATTGGGAAGAAAAAAAAAGAAAATGTGTTTGCTCATAAAACATGTATCTATATAGACTATGCAAAAGAATCTATCTGAAAATCTGGAAATAATAGTGATTATAGCCAGCTACAGGACACAGGTTTAGTATACAGAAGTCAGTGCTCTTCTATGCATTAGCAATGAACAAGTGGAACTTCAGATCTAAACTATGATACATTCCCATTGACACACCAAAAAGTAAAATATTTAGGTATAATTCTAAGAAAATATGTATAAGATCTAAATGAGAAAAAATACAAACCTCTGATGAATGACATAAAAAGTAAATGTATATACATATGTATATATATAAATAAAGAGGTTCTGCCTGCCCCTGCATAGAAAGATGCACAACATCAGTTCTTCCAAGCTCAGTCTAGTCCAAATCCCAGCCTTATTCAAACTGATTCTGAAGTTTACATGGAGTGGCATAAGCCCCCCGAGAGCTGAAGCCAGGCTGAAGAGTGAGTGGGAGGGTTTTAAGACTCACCACCCAGAGCAGCAGCCAAGGCGGGGTGCTGCCGGCCAAGTGGCAGACAGGGCAGACCAACAGAACAGAGCAGCCAGAGGCGCCGGCCACACCAGTCAGCAGCGGAGCTCCGGCCCAGCAGCAAAGGCTGTTCAGGAGGACGGCGCCTTCCAATAAACGGTGCTGAGCACACGGGTGCACACGCGAAAACCGCCACACCCCAGCGGTCCGGAGCAGACCTCGCCCCTTCCACAAAGTCAACTCAGGGGGGTCTCAGGCTTCCACGTAAGTGCAAAACTGGAACTCTCCTAGGAGGAAACAGGAGATGGCCTTGGTGGCCTTGGGTTTGGGGGCTACTTTTAAACATAACAGAAAAGACCAAGACTCGTAAAGCGAAGAATGGATAAGCTAGACTTCATTCAGATTAAGACCTTTTGCTCTGTGAAAGACACTGTCACGAGAAAGCAAGGGCGAGCCTCACTCTGGGAGAAGTGTCTGTGAAAGGTGCCTCCTCCCCCAGCCCCCCCAGCCCCCCCCTCGCTCTGGCAGCCCTGAGCCTGCAGCTCTTCCCTGGGCCTCCAGCCAGCGCCAGCGCCACTGGAAACTGCGCTGACCCGGCCGGAGGTGCCGAGGCACAGGTGCTCCAGCCCACCACCGCCCGTCCCCAGAGCCGCAGGCAGGGTGCCCAGGAGCACAGGGATTGGCCCTGTGCGGCTGCGGCATGTCATTCCATCAGGGTTCTGCTTTGCTTTGTTTTTTGGCATTTACTCTTTGGCTCACATTTTTTAAATCATTTTTCTTTTCTCTCCTTTTTCTCCTTTTAACACCCCATTTTCCTTCCTTTCCCCGCGTTGCGTCCACCCCGGCCTCTCCCTGACCTTCTGTTGCCTTTCCTCTTTATCTTTGTCCTTTCTTAGCCTTTTAGCCTATTTCTTATCATTCCTGCCCCGGCTCTTCCTGCTGGTTTCACTTTGTGTCTGGTCTGCTGCCGTCTGCTATTGTGACTGTGATCAGCTTCCTCTTTCTATGCCATGCTGGGACCAAGCCCAGCGCCCTGAGCCCACCCAGCTAAGACCCAGCCCTACCCCACCCATGACGCAGCCCTGTTCAGGTCAGCAGACACTTCTACTAAAGAACGGGAAGTAAAATCCCTGCAGATGACCTGTCCACACAGGCTTCGGCTCCTGGATATGAACCCCTGGATATGGACAGCAGAAAGAAACCCAGAGACGGTGGACACCCTGCCCACAAGGGCCACCACATGGTCACCCCCACGCCTTCAAGAACACACTGAAGACTAGACTGGAGCACAACTGTAGACCAATATCCCTGATGAACACACATGCAAACATTCTCAATAAAGTGTTCCAGAGTGAAATTCAGCATAGCTCATGATCAAGTTGGTTCCACTCCAAGGTACAAGGATCGTTAAACATGAAAATCACTGAAGATAACAGCACGTAAGTAGAAACAACAGTAGAAATCACCTGTTCACCTTACTAGATGCAGAAAGAGACTGATAAAATTCAACACCCCTTCATGATAAATGCCCTGAAAAAACTAGGTAAGAAGGATGGTACCTCCAAGTAATAGAGGTGAACCAGTGAACCAATTCAGCACAGCATCAGGGCCCTACATACACAAAGAGCAGTAGTGTTTTGTTTTAGTCAGCTTTGTTGCTGCTGTTATAAAAGACCCACCAGCACAACTGCAAAAGAGGAAAAGTTTATTTGAGGGCTCATGGTTTCAGAGATCTTAGTCCATAGAAGGCGGGCTCTACTCCTCAGGACGCGAGGTGAGGCAGAACCTCACCTCGTGATTAATTATTGCACAGAATTAAAAACCTTCTGCACATGGTGGAGGAGTGCGGCAGAGGGGAGCAGCTCATAATGGTGATCAGCAAGCAGACAGTGAGACAGTCCAGCCTCCAGATACACAATAAATAAGCCATAGCCACGCCCCAATGCCCCCCCTCCTGCAGCCACACCCACCACTTCAGAGTCCACTCAGCTAATCCCCTCAGGGGATTAATTCACTGACTGGGTTAGGACTCACGACCCATCATTTCTCCTCTGAACTTTCTTGCATTGTCTCACATGTGAGCTCTTGGGAGACACCTCACTTCCAAACCATAACATCTTTCTATACCAATAATGAACTCACTGAGAAACCAGGAAAACAACCTAATTCACAGCAGCCTCCAAAAACATGACCAAGGAACAAATCTAACAAGGAGGTGAAAGTCCCTACAATGAAAATCATAGAATGCTAGAAAGACAACAGGAGATGGAAAGATCTCCCATGTTTGTAGGTTGGCAGAATTAATCTGTCTAAATGGGTCAGGTGCCGTGGGGCACAACTGTGATCCCAATGACTTGGGAGGCTGAGGAGAAGGATTGCAAGTTCAAGGCCAGCCTCAGCAATTTAGTGAGGACCTCAACAATTTAGCAAGACCCTGTCTCAAAACAAAACGTTTAAAAGACTTTGAAACTACTTGAGGGAAACATCGGGGAGACATATAGATATTGGCATAAGCAACAATGTCCTGAATAGGACTCCGACATACTCAGGAAATAAAAACCAGAATTGACAGGGGATTGCATAGAATTAAAAACCTTCTGTACAGCAAGGGAAACAACCACAGAGTGAAGGACAGCCTACAGAACAGGAAAAAAATCCTTGCAAGCTATTCACCTAACAGAAGACTAATATCCAGGATACATAAAGAACCCAAAGGAGTTAACATCAAAAAAACAGGTAATCAAATTGATAAACAGGCAAATGAGCTAAAAAGATACTCATAAAATGAAGTGAAAATGGTTAATAAATATTTGCAAAATGCTCAAAATCTCTGGCCATCAGAAAAATGCAGATCAGAACTTCACTGCGATTCCATCTGACCCCAATCACAATGGCTATCACACATAATAATAATAGTAGCTAGTGGTTGTGAGGATATGGAGAACAAGGAACCCATGTGCACCACTGGTGGAATTTAAATTCGTACAGTGGAAAACAGTGTGGAAAGTCCTGGCCATCCTGCTCCTGGGCACGTACACAGAACAAATGAAGCTGGCACACAGGAGACACCACATGGCCCCGTTCATGGTGGCACCTTGAGGGCAACACTGCTCAGTGCCCATGAACACCTGCAGTGGGACAAGAAAGACTGTGAAGACTGTGATGACCAAAGAAACGGAGAGGGAAGCCTTGGTTGCAAACTAAAGTCTACTCACAAAACATCTGACGGGATCCGTCAGCACCCTGGGCCTGGGACCTGCCCCGTCTGGCCCTGCTTGAAGCCCAGTGAGGCCCCCATGGGCCCCGGCCCACCACAAGGAGCGTGTGAGTGACGCAATGTCCAACCGCTCTCCACTGAGTCCTCCAGGCTCCTTCTCTGGAGCAGTAAACAGCCCGCGGGGCGTCTGCAGCCCTGGGGTTGATCAGGCACGACTCCCGATAGCCAGGGTCTGGAACAAGCCCAGGTGCCATTGAGGATGCACGATGGGGAATGGCCACACGTTCCCAAGAAAAGCAGTCATCTCAGTCCCTGCAATACCAGTTCATCACGAGGAAAAGCGACGACATCTCAGGATTCTCTGTAGCAGGGAAGAAAAGTGGGGCCCTAAACGCCCACCAGCAGAGGACTGGGAAGACAGGCTAGGGTGGAGGAAGCCCTGGGACAGAGCAGCAGCCCGGCCGACCGCCCTGATCTGCGCCTCACTGTGGCGTGCACTTCAGCAGTGAGCCACGTGAAGGACCGCCACAGGTCCCGGCAAGTGAGGGGCAGCGTGAGCGGTGTGCACGTCGGGTTCCCTGAGTCAGAGCTTCAGGCCTGACCAGGCTGAACCGACAGTCCCCAGGCTTAGGCTGAGTCAGCTGGGTACCTTCACCCTCCACAGGGGCCTCCTCTGTATTTTAATACAGGAACACCCATCTTTCTTTACAGCTGATTTGCCTCTGTTACCGCCTTTTCTCTTAATTAAGACAGTTCCTTTAAATTCCATGGTCCTCTTCCTACATACCAGCTCTGGTCCTGAGGTCTTTGAGACCCTGCTCCCCTGGCCCAGTTCCTGCTCAGGATGGCCACACATGACCCCATTTTTCAGACGGTCCTGCCCTCTACATTTCAGCTGGAAGGAGCACAGAGACACCACATGACAAATACTGTCAGTACTGAAAAACACCCTCTGCATTTCTCTTTCTCGCCATTAAAGGTGCTTTTCCTAAGTTCTCCCTGCAGACAGTGAAACCAGATTGATCTTAAACATTATAAAATTTCACCCAGATAAAGTCTGACAGATATGAGCAGCATGGGGCAAGAGGTTGCACAGGGAGGTGTACCTGGGGAGCCGCCGGGTTGAAGGCCACTTCAGAGACGGTGTCTGTGTGTCCAGCCAGCCGATGGGAAAATGTGCTGCAGCCCAGGTTGTACACGTAAGCCTAGGAGACAAGAACAGGGGTTCTGGGCGGGCTGGGAGTGGGGCAGGCTCCATACCCTGCAGGGGAGGGCCGTCTGCAGCTGATCAGTGTGCAAGCACGTCACCCCCAGTGAGCACGTGTGCGCTCTCTCCTGGCACACCCCACAGTTCCCCAACAGTTCAGAGCAGGGGTTTGTGTCCACAACTGAGGTTAAGGAGAAGAGATTTCTATTCCAAACTCACCTTAACGTCCCCGAGTGCATGAGAAAGATGCCCCCACGTCCCTCCCGGCACCTGCCCTTGGTGTCGCTCTGGCCGCCTGGAGCTGGAGCCGCGCTCACCAGGGCTGCTTGCCGAGGGATCAGTGATCACCTCGTGGGCACATAGAGCCACCGGTGCCGTTGGGCTCTTCCTTTAGGGACAGGGGAACATCCATGCTGCTGGGGCCTGAGAGGAGAGCACTGCGGAGTGGAGACACCAAGCACCTTCTGAAGATCCTGGTGACGGAGAGACACCACGCCGCAGCAGGAGGAGGCCTGGCCACTGCTGCTCCCACAGCCTGACATGGGGACGCCGCTTGTGCTGGACCTTCCCTGGAACTCTGCCAGTGGCTGGGGTCTTGGAGTAGGTCTCCAGTGGCGTTCCCAGTAGGGGAAGTGCCTATGTGTCACCTGGAGGCACACACTGCCCTCTACCGTCTGCACACAGTGCTGGAGCACGGCCAACTCCCCTAACAGGCCTGCAGGCCTCGCACCTGCACAGCATGTCACCTGCCACCAGGTGAGCACAACCAGGCCTGACCTTCGCTCTGGGCCTGAGGCTGCGAGCACAGCTGCTGTAACCACTGCCCACCGTGGTCCTGCCCTGCTAAGAGCCAAGTATATGATACATGGCATTTTTGGTTGAAAGGTGACGCCAGCTAGCCATTGAGATGATATGATTATGTTAAGATCTGCATTCATATGGATATTGGACTCCTGCTGTTCACCTGGGCCTGCTAAGGGACTCCTGGAGAGTTCCCATTGGTTGGGGAAGTACAGTAGGAGGGAGTTCTGGGGGAGGAACTCTCTCTGGCGGTTCCGGGGGAGAACGCCTGCTTGTGTGGATCGGATCTTCCCGGGGGGCGGACAGAACATTGGCGGCAGTTTCAAAAAAATAAAGTTTGTTCCTGCTTGAGTGGCTCGTGATTTTGTGCCCAGCCAGACTGCGGCACTGCCCAGAGGCCACACTGGCTTTTCTGACGAGCCTGCCGTCTTCCTAGTCCGCCAAGAACAGTGTCCTTCATCTGCGACTCAGGCCGCCTCCAGGGCCCTCTGGCTCGTGGGTCTTGGCTTCTTCAGGACCAGTGACCCCAGGCTCTCCTCCCTGTGCAGGCAGGGTATGGGAAGGGCCCACGTTTCCCCACTGACGGGAGCCAAGGGCTGTGCTCACAGGCCTCCCAAGCTGCAGGTGGCCTTCCTCATGGACCCCGCTCCACAGCCAGGGAGGAGAAACTTGTCCCAAATCCATGGGCAAAGTGGCCACCACCAAAGGGGAGGCAGCTCTTTCAGGCCACAGAGTGGCGCCCTAGGCCAGCACCTGGCTCCTCTGCTGTCTGCACACAGTGCTGGTGCAGGGCCAACTCCCCTAACAGGCGCCTGCCACCAGGTGAGCACGACCAGGCCTGACCTTACCAACTTACTCGCAGACATTATGAAAAGCAGTCTGTGGTTTTCGGGAGTCCCCTGTCCCATTTTCTATTCCCTTTATCCATTCTTATTGATTATTCATTAAGCTTCGGTATTTTTGAATTTGGGGTGTTGGCTAAAGTTCACTTTGTAGCTCGTGTTTTAAACACTGGAACCCTGATGACTGGCCCAGGCGCTCTGTGTGCTGGGGCTGTCACTTCCCCTGTGCCACTCCGGCTCCCAGGCAGGCAGCCTCTGGCTCTCGCTCTCTGTGGCACAGTACTGGGCCACCAATCCCCTCTAAGCACGGCTTCATTCGTATCTCAGAGACACTGACCATGATGTTGGTGAAACCGACAGAAAACCTGTGGTTTATGTTTCCTTTTGCACCTTTAAACCTAGAACAGACAGAATGTGAACATCTCAGTGGGGGAAGCTTCTGTCTGACCTCACTGGTGAGGGGCTGCTGGACTCTGGTCTCACACTCAGTCACTGGGCTTTTCATCATTCCGGTGCTCCACCTGAAGACAAGGTGCCCTCCCTGTTGGCACACACATGGTTATGACTGATCCACGGACGGGGTTAGTGGGTGCTGACTGTAGGCAGGTGGCCTGTGGCTGGAGGAGGAGGTTACGGGGCATGTCTTTGGGGCCTGTCTGCTGAGCAGAGCTCCCTGGCTTCCTGGCCACCACGTCCTGTGCTGCCCTTCTCCCTCCTCCATGCCCTTCCACCATGATACCCTGCTCATCTCGGGCCCAGAGACAGGGAACCTGCTGACCATACACTGAGACCTCTGAAACTCTGTGCGCCAAATAAGCTTCCTCCACTAAGTAGTTCTTGTCCGGTGTTTGGTCACAGCGACACGACGCTCAGACATCATTAGGAAGGTCTACGAGGTGCCATGGCCTGGGGTCTGTGGGCTCTCCATCTGTCGAGGCCAGGAGGGTCTCCTGGGGACCCCTCCCCTCAGGCCTGCTGTGGGAGACTCCCACCCACCCCTGGTGCCTGTCGTCAGCACCCTCCTCTCACTCGCCCCCTCGTGGCCGGTCCTTGCTGCTGCTGCTGTGTTGTGGTCACTTGTTGGCCGGCCGCACTCCTGCTGTCCTTTCCTGCTTTCCCTTGCTCATCGGCCAGTCCCTCCTGACCCGCCTGGCTCCAGGCTCTCCTTATTCAAAACCCATCCTGAAAGCAGAGGGGGCCTGTAAGGGAGAGGCAGGGGCAGAGGGAGAGCCAGGCAAGGAGGGTCAGCTCTGGGGCCTGAGACCAGCCAGATGACCTTGTGTTTGTGGATGACTGTTCCACAAGCACCTGCTATGTATGATCATAACGCACCAATGAACGTTCCAGAAGCCCGCTTCCTTCTGAAGACAAGTCTGCTGGCTCAGGCTCCGGACACCTCGACCTCTGGCCCAGGGGTGCGGCACAGCTGGGCCCCAAGGCCATCCCTGTGCACCAGAGCCCTTTGCTGCACCGATGGCTTGGGTCCTCTTGCTCTGATGCCTCTTTTTGGTCATGGACCTGGTTGTGTTCTAGAGTGTTCTATTCTCCTAAATTTAGAGGAAACCCTCTAAATCTAAACCCTCTAAACACTCCTCTCTGACCCTGTGGCTGGTGTCTCAGCCTCTCCGCTCTCCACCCCATCTCCCCCGTCATCCATCTTGAGTCCCCAGGACCATCTCTGTACGAGTCGAATACACAGAGTCTACAACACAAGCAGGGTGCAGTGGTGAGGCCTGTCATCCCAGCTGCGGGGACCTGAGCCCAGCTAGGCAGAGCAGCGGGAGGCCTACTGCAGAGGGGTCTACGCCCTGCTGACAAGCCATTCTCCACTCCTGGGGGAACCTGCCTGTCCAGTGACCCCCCTTCTCCCACTTGGTATCAGCACCAAGGCACAAGAGCTGCAGCACTCACGCAGGCCTCCACCCCCACCCACCTCTGGCCTCACTCATGTGCTTCCCCAGGTGCAGCATGAACGCAGGGCCTCCTCCCCCACCCACCTCTGGCCTCACTCATGTGATTTTGGCAGTGCTACATAGCGAGTGTGGAAAGCTACTGAGGCTGGATTTTACTTCATTGTGCGCCAGACAGCCAGGGAGAGTGTGGGTGGATGTCCTTACTGCCCCCCACCTGGGAGAGGTCCCTCCAGCCTCCAGCCACCCAGGAGCACTGAAGCCATGCAAACTCTGCCAGCAGCACCTCTGAAGACCAGCACGGTGGCCGCCATGTGCAGGACTGCTGGCCGTGCCTCATGGCTTCACCAAGGCTATCTGCAGGGACACCAGCCTCTGGCTCTGCAATTCCACAGGTGTGCTGAGAAGAAAGCGGCAGCCTCGGGCCCAGCCCTAGACCACACGGCCCTTGAGTCTTCATTTCTTCTCCGTCCTCTGCATCAACAAAAACCGCCAGACCCTGCAGGGCCTCAGCTCTCACCACACGGCACAGGCCTCCATGGCCTCTGTGCCCCTTTCCCATGTCAGGAGTGAAAATCCTCCAAGGAAAAAGCCCCTGCAGAAGGCAACACAAGCCCTGGGGCCTCGGCAATCCTGGAGCCCCGCAGCCCTGGCCAGCTCCACGCTGCTCTCACAGGCCCACGGCAGAGCTCGGGTCTGAGGGCAGCTCTGTCGGCAACAGCCAACACCAGGGCCGGTTCATAATGAAGACCCTGAAGGTCTGGACTCACTGAGGAAGAGGCGCTCTCCCAGAGTGCTGGGCGTGGAATTGGGATTCGAAGCACAGCCTCAATTCCAAAGATGAGGAAGCCACAGTGGCCAGGAGAAGAGGGCGAGGTGTGAGGCTGGGATACAAAGCACGCGGGGCAGACAGAGGCTGACCCTCGGGAAGGGCAAGGGTGTTGCAGGTAAAATGAGAGGACACAGGAAGAAAGTGCAGAGCGAGAAAACGAGTCCAGCCCAGGAGGACCTCCAGGGTGGGGCCAGGCCAGGGTCTCTGGTGCCCGGAGAGGTGAGGCTGCGTTTCCCCCGAGAGCCCAGGGAAGCCATGCCTGCAGGAGGAGGAGGGATGGCTGCTGCGCTGACAGCTGCAGACCACCAGAGGGTGGGCAATCGGGGCTGCCCCCAGCGGGCCAGGTGGAGCCGCTCGCTGAGTGGTCATGCTCACCCTTCACGTGGAACCGGGGTAAATGCACTCATTAAGGCAAAAGCAAGGTCCTACAGGAAGCAAACGACGTTACCCAAAATGAAGCTCGTGACCCTTGATGTCCTCTGCGGGCTGCTGCGGGACTTGAGCTCAAGCCCACAGGGATCTTAGGAAACCACCTGCACATGCGTGCTGAGCTGGCACCACACACTGTCATCTCTGCCATCCGGGCAGACAAGAGGGCTCCACGTTCCCAGAGAGCCACTTGGAACCTAGGGACCACGCACGCCTGTTGTCTGCCTGGAGCTGCAGGCCAAGGCTGAGCCTGCTCCTGGGAGGACCCTGCCCTCCCAGCCCCCTGCTCGCTCCGCAGACGCCACAACAAAGCCAGCTTCTCCGTGGCTGCCATGCACCTTCCGGACTTCCCTGGACACGTCTGAGAACTTCCTTCTTCCTAATCGTGGAGGATGTCAGTAGGGCCACCTGGAAGGGGCACAGTGGCCTCAGGGGGACCAGCCCAGCCCTGGGTTCAATCAGGTGAGACTCGTCCTCTTTGCAGGCAGACATCTTTTTGTCACCATTTGCACCAGAGGGAAAATGTTTGGAAAAATATGAAAGATAATTCCTTAAACTTGGTTAAAGAGAAAAAGGTCAGATTAAAAACACTTAGTGAATCGCAAATATGATGAATTAAAAGCAAGCTTCACTTAGATCCAAAATAAACTCCTAGAAATAAACTATAAGGAAAACATCTTGAAAGTATCCAGAAAGAAAATCAGCATAAAGGAAGTCCGCGGCAGGGAGCCACGCAGCTGGGGACAAGTCGCTGCGGCAGGGCCAGCAGCCTGTCCAGCGGGGCCAAGGTACTGGGGAAGGGCAAACCAGGGCGTCCCGGGCGTCCAGGGCATCGAGGAAGGCGGGCAGCGCAGGAGCCATACAGCCGAGAGCTGGGCAGAAACCCTCCAGCAGGAAAGCAGCTCCACGGGAAAAGCCGGTGCCGTGGCTGTGGGGCGCAGAGTGCACACGTGGGATGTGGGTCTTGGCACCAGCCTACGCCCCATGGCACAGGCGGGAAGGAGCCGGTTCCTCGTGGGGCCCACGTACACATTTCCTTGAAGTGGTGGACGACCATGCCACAAAGCTGAGAGAAGGCCGGCGGGACACAGACTGCAGAACACCCACAGCACTCAGCACGCAGCTAGGGCGGCGTGAAGTGGAGTGCTCACAGCACATTGAAATGACCAAACAGGAAAGGCACGGTGACCAAAGAGCAGCAGCCAACACAGAGGAGACCAGCAGAGACCCGAGGACAGCAGACTGCCCTAGACACCAGTGTCACGCAACGTGCCAAGTCGCTACGGCAGCACCCGTCGAGAGGAGCCAGCACGTCCAGCCACCTGAAGTCTGAAGTTCAGTCCCAGGGTGGCAAGCCACACCAGGGCCAGCAGGACGGAGACCTGAGAAGCCCAAAGGCTGCAATGACGCATTGATGCCGAGGGACCCCATGGAACGGACACACACACACACACACACACACACACACGGTTCCTTTATGTTTTGAACTGTCATAACTGTGTCCTAACAGTGTTGGAGACTGATTTTTCCCCACAAAATGCATCAGTGAAAGCCAAGCCAAGGGGATGGTGTCTGAGGTGGGGCTGCTGGAGGCAGTTGGGTCACGTGGGCTCAGGAGCCTGTGGCCTCCCCCTCCTTCCCCTACTTGCCCTCATGGGAGGACACGGGAAAAGTGGCCATCTGCAAGCCAGCAAGACACTCTCACTGGGCATGGGTGGACACTGCAGAGGCTCTGCCTGAGCACCCGGGGGCAGTGGCCTTTGCAGTCCAGGCAGGCAGCCATGCCCTTGCTCGCCCACCTTACGCACCTGCAGAACTGGACCTGCCAAGGTTGACCACAAATACCTTTCAAAACAGCACCTGGGCCCACCTGAGCCACAGCTGGGCAGCCCAGGGTGGCTCCCTGGGGTTGAGGGAGCAGACAGCCCAGGTGTCCTCCCAGGACCAGTGTCCTCCCTCGTGCAGTCCTGGCCCCAAGCCCAGCACTGAGTCTGACAGAGTGGCAGCCCCGGAGACCCTGCAGTGCCCATGGGTCCTCTTCTGTCCACTGTGCCCAGCCTCCAGCCTCCTCCTCAGCTGACAGCGTGGGCGCTCACCTGGCTGGCGCTCCTGAGACACCTTTCCACGCTCTGCAGGGTCAGACGGGGTTTTTCAAATCTCCCTTCTCCTCCCCTTCAGTTGTCGGGTTGATTCTTCTCTCCTTGGGTCCCTCACCTCCCCGTCTCGAGGAGCCACGCGGTCCCTTCGACACCCGCAGCAGCCTCTCCAGCAGACGCCCAGCTCCTCACGCTGTGCTCTGCCTTCCCAGCCCCTGAAGAGCCAGGCTCGGCCACGCGCCTGCCCTGGTTTCCAGCACCTGCTTCCTCCCCTCCCCTGCAGCCTCGCTGGGGTGGCCTTCGCTGTCCGCGTTTCTGCCAGCATCTGGCCACGCCATGGGTGTGTCAGATGCCTGCAGCGATCTCCTGGGCTCCCCGGCCTTGCTGTGCCAGCCTGCACCATCCCGCCCCAGCACTGCTTCCACGTGGGGAGCCTCCACGGCAGCTCCCGCTCGCTCGCACCACCTCCTCCTGCGCCTGTGGGGTGCTGCCACGCTCAGTGCCACGGCCAGCACTTGGCACGGGCCTTCTGGCTGCGGCCTCACTGGCCAGGGAGGCACAGTCCATCATGAGGGTGCAGTGCTCCCGGCCCCACAGGTCCCCCTCTGGATGCCATCACAATGGCAACAGAATTCAGCATGAGTTTTGAGTGGGACACTCACCACAGCCAGCACCCCTGAGGAGAAGGTGTGACGGCGAAACCAGGCCTGGCTGTGAGAGGAAGCTGCAGACACCCTAAGAAGCCAGGACAGGGAAGGGTCAGCTCTCCTCCCGCCCAGCCTTCCTCCAGGAGGCCTAACTGACTGCCCCAGGAGGCTGACTTCTCCCTCTTGATATGCAAACAGCCCTGGGCCAGGCCCTCCAGGTCTAAGGCGCTGTGAAAGGGCCCTTCTGCTGTCTCTGGGAGCATGCTCTGTGTCAGGGCCCCACAAGGCCTTCAGCCACACACACTAGGAACTTTTAAAAGACAAAAGCCCCAGTGACAGGAAGGGTCCAAGATGACGCCAAATGACCTATCAATGTCGTGAGAGCCTGGCCAGGGCTCAGAGCTGGAGTCTGCTCTCCTCCGGGGCCTGCTGGAGTGAAACAGAGTCTGGATTCTCCCCTCTCCCAGTGCTGCTGGTGTTTCTCTGCCCGTCTGTTTCCACAACAAAAGGAGAAACCGGAGATATGTGGAGGAGAAGGGTTATGTGAAGACAGGGCTCCACCCAGTAAGGCCAAGGATGTACCCCCTGGACCGTCTCTCCCTCAGATGCCCGAGAAGTAGCGGACCCTCCTACACCAGGCAGACAGATGGTCTCTAGCATCATGAGCAAGAAAACATCTGCAGGGTAGGCCTCCCACGGTGGTGCTGGGTCTGCTGCCCTGGAAAACTAAAACCTGACCCCCTCGTGTGTCAGGGACACAGGGAGGTTGACGAGCTGTGCTCCAGACCCCCTGGAGGTGCAAGCGCTGTGCGGCGGGGGCCAGCTTCCCAACAGCACCTGTTCCTTAGGAAAGGCCCCTCACGGCATCACCTGCATCCCCAGGACACACCACGCAAGGGTGCTCAGAGCACACATGCAGTGCTGTGAGAGGCTTGGGTCCGGGTGGGTGCTCCCCAAGCTTCAATAAAAAAGTGGCATCTGTGCCTCCCGCGCATGGCCACTGAAGCATGAGACTGGGCACCTCGAGCAACACGGGGCACCCAGCGTGCCCATCCCCAGAGTGACCAGACGGCATCACTAGATTCTGTGTCCCACGTCCCTCACCCACACCTACGTGTCTGTCCTCAGCTCCGCAGGCCACAAACCGTCCACAAGGGCTGAAAGCAATTCTGCAGGGGTAGCCACGGTTCGGATGTCCTTCAAAACTGCGCTCACACCTGCGAGGACAGCAAGGAACAGCAGGGGGAAAACCAAGCACATCTCGACACAGGTTGAGGAGGCACACCAGCCAGCCCTTTCCTTCACAAAAGGAAGAAACTATCATGAAAAAAACTTCTTATTTTTTGCTGCAGTTCTGGGGACTGAACTCTGGGCCTTGCCAAGGAGCCGGGCAAGCTCCCCACCACTGAGCCACACCCTGAACATTTTATGTTCGAGAATCTTAAATGGCAAACAATTAAAGAGATCTTGAAAAGCAATTCAAACACTATTTGATCCCATAAATTCTCAAAGATGACAGAACTAGCAATACATGAGCTTTCCGTATCTGGTCAATATTAAATAACAGTGCTCTCTGCAGGACCTTCCAGATCACCCCTGTGCGGGAGGCAGCGTGCCTCTCATGTGCAGAGCCTAGGCTCACTTCCCAGCAGAGGAACGGAAAATCAAGCTGGGTAAAGGGCCCAGGCTCCAGGAAGGGCCATGTCTATCAAGGGAGTCAAGGTTCACAAACAGCTACTTACACAGTACCACTCTTAAAAAGGTCAGAGCATCATGAGTGAAATAAGCCAGGCTGCGGGACACACACCTGTAAGTGTGCCACAATCAGATGCACTGTTTTGTACGATTATTATGCACAAATTAAAAAGAGAGAATTGGCGCTAGCTTTATGAAGAGAACCTCCGAGCCTCCCCAGGGAAGTGCCTAGCAGCGTGGCCTCCCGGGATGGGTGCCCCAGGGCTCCGCACCACCAACAGGTCCTGACTGGTGGGCCCTAGGACACCTGCAGATGGGGCTTTCTCTCTGTTCTGGGACCGAGGAGCACAGGAGTGCCCTCTGTCGGCTCATGATGGAAGGGCGTGTCCTGGGTGCACACAGTTGAGCAGGTGCTGGTTTCATGCACCCGACTCCCTGGGTTCTAGCCTAGCGAGTGTCAGCTCAGCCTCCTCAATTGTGCATGGGTGAGCCACAGCCTCGGCATGTTGGGAAGCCACCGGGCCTCGCTCCTAGCTCCAGCCGCCTCCCCGTGGCAGTGCTGGGATACGTGCAGGACTTACCTCAGGGTCCTCAGGTCCCACAGTCTCACCCCTTCACCAACGGCTGTGGTCAGGAAAAGATTATAGGCCTGGAACTGCTGGGTCGTAAATGATGATCCCTGAAATCAGAAGGGAAAAGTCAAGATGGGTTTCTAAAGGCTGGATTTTAAAGCATTCTGCTGCTGGGCACAGGGGTGCACAGGTAAACCCAGCACCTCCAGAGGCTGAGGCAAGAGGATTGCAAGTTGAGGCCAGCCTCAGCAAATTAGCGAGGTCCTGTCTCAAAATAAAAAATGAAAAGGGCTGGGGCTGTAGCTCAGTGGTGTAGCACCCTGGGTTTCAGTCCCACTGTAAGTAAATAAAGACATCGTGCCACTGACGTCTGACAATACTTCATTCTTTACAGTCAGAAATCAACACAAACCTCTTACTATAATGATTTCCGAGTCAAACTTGAGAACTTCCACGCACAGTCCTGCTCTGCCCCACAGCCTTTCAGTCTGTGGCAAGCTGTGTGTGTGAATGTGGTCCCCAGGAGCACATGGCGCAGAGAGGGCAGGCAGCCTTGGCTTGTGCGAACTCAGGCCTCAGAACTCACGTGACAGTCATGTCACCAAGGAAGCCATCCTTGGTGTGCATGCACTGCCCAGCAGCTGAGGCTGTGCACTGAGCAGAGGGAGCATCAACCGTGAGTCGTCATTTTCTCTGCGTGTCATGCCACCAGAGGCATGGCACCAGATCAGCAGAGGATGACAGAGCAAGGGGTCAGCAGGCCGACATTCCTTTTCCAAGTGAGGGTCACAGCCAGTCAGCACGGCATCCGGGACGCCTCAGTGAGCCCTGCTTCTCCTCCCATCGTCCCACCTAAGACCTCGCAGGCAACCGAGAGACAGTGCAGGTGAGTGCAGAGGCCTGGACAGCGGGAGGCACCGAGGGGCCCTCAGGTGGCCACCTTCCCTGCTGCTGTCAAAAGACACCCACAGAGTGAGACTCAAGGGAAGGGCACCTGTGGAACCTCTGGCTCGAAACATGACTCCAACGCCTGGAGGCTCGTGAGGGCCCGCCTCCCGCCAGCACCTGGTTCTCCAGCTCTGCAGACAAGCTCCATGCGGGACGTCCCCAAGCACGCGTGTTTGGAATCCACCTGGAATGACTCTTCGCAAGCAGCAGGAAGCAGAGGGCCCTGCTCACGGGCACACTTGGCCCGCTTGGGCTCAGCTCTGCCGTCGCATCCCCAGCACCACCTCGCTGTGCCCTCCCCCAGCCCCAGGTGGGAGCTGAGCTCAGGTAGCACGGGCCCATGCGGCCCCACACCTGCAGCAGGCATCCCAGGGTGCCCAGTGACCCTGCACCTGCAGGCCACCTGCTGAGCGCTGCCTGGGAAAGGCACACAGCACAGGAGCTCGAGATAGGAAGCCCAGAGGCAGAGAGAGCCGTCAACTGCCCGGGAAAAGAGAGCTTCGCAGTCTGTCCACCTGATGGAGGGTGAGGAGGAAGACACCAAGCAGGAAGGACAGGAGTACAAATGCACAACAGGAGGCACACGTGAGGTGAACCCACGCACCGCCGCGGCAGGCACAGCACTCACGCCAGCCCGCAAAGGCTCAGGAAGAGCTCTGCAGGAGGATCCCAAGGACAGCAAGGCCTCCTTCTTCAGAAGGCTGAGGGGAGTGGGTGGCACGTGCACAGAGGCTGAGCAGAAATGGTCCTGAAACAGCTGAGGTGGACTGCAGAATGCAGACTTCACTATGCTGAGTAACACGGCCTCCGGGTTCCCACAGCCACTGTGGGTAGACAGTAAGGGGGACTGACAAGATGGCAGCCCAAGTGGGAGAGGGAACGAACACACTTCCCTCGCTATTAAAAAATTGAGAAGCCTTGAACGATTTAGAAGCAATTAACTAGGTTGAGCCAAGGGCCTCCATGGAGACCTATAGCTGATAGCTAGAAAAAGTGCATTATTTTGTATAAGTGTGTAATATCTATTTTAAAAACAAGCCAAGGTCAAGTTTTCCACTGAATACAAAATCTCAGAAGATATCGAGAAAATCGGTACCAACGGAATACGCGCTCTGCACGCACTGTCCTCAAGTCCGACGTCAGTCACGAAACAGAGGATGAAGACCACCTCCCACACAGAGACCTAAAGGCACACCCTGGATCCAAGTCTGGTGAACGTGGGGACTCATGCCGCGTGACAGGAAGAGTGCGCCCGAGCGAGCTGCGCGACGAAGGCCTGTCGGTAGGCGCTCCAGACGCTCCTCCTCAGGAAGTGAGCCAGCGGCCCCACAGAGGAGCTCCAGCTGTTCTTCCTGCGACCCCCATCCCCGAGCACGCTGCAGCCGGGCTGAGGAGGTGAGGAGGCCATCTGCACAGCCTGGGGCAGATGGGCGGCGCGGCCGAGCCACAGAGCCGCCTACAGCAGACACACCCTGGAGCACGAAGCCGTTCTGACCAGCGGGCCTCCACTGCGAGTGCCTGGGGCGCTGCCAGCCCCACTGCTCTCCAGCAGGGCTGGCCTTGCCTCCCCCAGCGCCCAGCAGGGTGCAGCTCAGCCCCCGAGGAACCCTCAAGATGAGCCACGGGAAGGAACCGACCCAGGGAAGGAAGGGACCCACGCAGCAGGGCTGGGCCAGCGTCACACGGCCTCCCCAGGACCCGCTGCTGGGGACTCGCCAAGCGGCACTTGCTCCCCAGACAGTGTGAGCTGAGGGGGAAAACGAGCCTGAGACGCTTTTCACTTGAGAGCATGGGAAAATAAGGCCATGTGCCCCGTTGGGAGGTGGCTGGGACAGGCAGCGCATCCGTCACCGGCCTGCAGAGCCTCCCTGCCTCCGACGGCCACAGTCCTCAGCTTCTCCACGCGGACTCTCCATTTGGAAGGCATTCTGCACTGCGCATTGCTGCACCGTGGACCCAACGAGTCCTGCGCAGGACAATGCTCTGGGGAAAGGCCACCGAGGGGGGGAATCCTGCCCCCTGCAGGCGCCAGCCACGAAACAAGCACCGGCTCTCAGGGAGGCTCACCCCGACTCTGCCCAAAGCGCCGCCTAGCACCTGGTAGAAACCCAGTTCCCATCTCGTCAGGCGTCCCTCTGCAGACCCCTGGACGGGCGCTCACAGCCAGCTCTGGCGTCCTGTGCCCACCGTGCCCCTTGCACACTGAGGGGAGGCAGCTCTGGACAGACCAGGACCGAACCGCCCTCAGCGGCCAGGCTCAGCCTGTGGGCTCCAACTAGGCAAGCCACCTCTGAGCACCAACTGTATGCCAGGAAGGCACGGATCCAGCCTCAGAGGGCAGAACCCATGGGAGAGAGGGTCCCAAGCCTTCCCCACACGCCCAGGCTGGTCAGCAGTGTGAACTGGTGGCAAAGTGACAGTCAAGTCTGCCACCCAGAGACAGACTCCTCTGAGCTGGACATGGATGGCCCAGGCCACGGAGCAGAGATGGAAAACAGAGAGCAGGCACACTGGGACTGACCCCCTGGAAAGCGCTGGAGATACCCAGCCGCCTGGCCACCCTGCTCGGGGGGCAGGGCCCTGGAACTGGAGCTCAGAAGCCAGTGCCAGCCCATGACATAGCCTTCCCCAGGTCTGGACCAGTGCCAGGTTGCCCAGCCTGAGCCCAGAGGGTCCAGCCCAGCCCCCGAGGAACCCGCGGATGAGCCACGGGAAGGAACGGGCCTGCTTGGTGTGGCTTCTGTCCTTAAGGCTCCAGCAGCCTCTGCTGGCAGCAGGGTGCTGAGAGTCCCGAGGATGGGTCGCCTGGGCGTGGGGACGGGGAGACGGAGAGGGAGCCAGGCCACACCCCACGTGACCCCATGAGACCGCTCACCTGCCGAGGTGTGTGTGGGCCCTAGGGTAACCGGTCAAATGTCAAGGCCTAAAATAGTGATCCATACGAATTACACTGAAATTGGCAGCGGTTCCGAAATTACATCCTGATACTTTGTTTATTAAAAACTTAAAGCTCCTAATGTTACAAACAACGTACTGTATTCTTCAGCTTCTCCTCGTTGTGATCAGTACCCCTGAGGAGAACAACTCAGAAAAGGAAACGTTTGTTGGGCTCATGGATTCAAAGATTCGGTTCGTGTTCAAACAGCCCATTTTTCTTGCCTGAAGTGAGGCAGAAACACCATGGGGAGGCTTGGTGGAGGAAAGCTGTCAGCCTGGCCGCCAGGAGATGGACAGGAACCAGGGACAGATGTGGCCCAGGGCACAGCCCTAGGGACCCACCTCCTCAGGCCACGCCCCACCTGGCTATAGCGACCACCCTGCAGTCCAAGTCCATTCAAATCATTAATCCACCAAGTGGCCGCTCACGATGAGCTCACTGTCCCCAGTCACCACTGCCTAAAAGACCCACCTCTGAGTCTTACTGTACTGAGGAGCATGCTTCCAACACAGGATTTTCAGGGGACACTGAAGATCCCAACCGTAACACGTGTGTCCAGAACTTACTTTATTCTGACAGATCTGATGGATAGGCCGTGAGTGGGCTTCTGCTATCACTGCAGCACTGCAGCCAGTGTTGAGGTCGAAAACTTGCAAAGTCCTGTTGCGGCCAGCTGTGAGGACCACATCTGCAGCAGCTGAGTTAGGGAGCCTGCCCGGCGGCCTTGCCCACAGGGAGGCACGGCTCTGTCCACCCCCAGGGCTCAGGTTCTGGGGAGGCGCAGCTCTGCTCAGCTGACTGACTGGCCCAGAACTCCGCAGCTCCACAGGGAAGTCCTCCCAGCACAGCCCACTCGGCTGGCCCCGGATGTCCGCAGGAGCAGAGGGGTGCTGCTGGGAGGTGGAGACGGCAGAGGAGCACGTCCTGCAGTAGGCCTCGGTTCTACCTCTAGCCACACTGATGGACGTGTCCAGGAAATGTCCAGATCAGGTAGCGGTGGAAATGTTGGCAGTCTGAATACAGACCAGATGAGACCACTGCGGGGCACAGCCACGTGGGGGGCAGCACCTGGAGCAGGCTGCAGGTGGTCACAACAGCAGCCCAAGACCCACACATCCAGAGAGCACAGGCGCTGTCTGAGTGGACAGGCGAGGGGCAATGTGTGCATACAGGGATCGAGTGACCACCCACACTCCCCAGCGTCTCGCCCCGAGTACTGTGGCAGACACGCAAGGCAGAAGCACAGGCCCGGGCCAGCATGCGCAGACGGCACAGCTGAGGTACGAGCCGCGGAGACCCCTGCTGCCAGGGGCTCTCTCTTCCCCTTTCACAGGACCCAGTGCAAAAACCCGACACTCCAGCTTCACCGCATTCCCGCAGTACCTCACAACGTCTCCTCCAGGCCTGGGGAAGGAAGCGCACCTGGAAACCCTCAGCAGAACCCAAACATGCCCATGTCTGAATGAACTAGAGCCCTTACACATCAGGAGATCTGATTCTAAGTGAAACAAAACCAGTTTTTTTGATTAAAGTGACGACATTACCCATACAAAGCCCGAATTGAAGTTGGACTCGACGGTGTACTCTGCGGGAGCAGCAGCTGGGGGTCCCGCAGCCCTCCCTGTGCGGGCCTGGTCTGCTCCAGGACCTGTCCTGAGAGCTGCCCCCTTGAAAGCCCCCACACGGAGAGGAGACACCACCGTCCAGTCGCTGCCCAGAGCGTCAGTGCCCTGAGCATGGCCACGAGCACCCTGTGCCCCGCACAGCACCAGACATCAGAGCTCACTGACTGGCAGCTGGAAGACCCAGACAAGGATACGGGAATAGAAGTCGTTCACCGCTGACAAGCTGGTCACCTCGGTGGCCCCCCTGGTGGACAGCCTGAAGACACACTCGTACCTGCTCCTGGGCTTATACCTGGAAGAAAAGTAAAGAGATCACCTGTTTCCTCCCACCACAGCTACCCAGCCAGCTTCACCACGCAAGAAGGCTCACAGGGCTCTCGGCACCTAGCAAGGCTGGGTGTCCCTGGGTCCTGTGAAAGGGGACCACAGAGAGCCCCTGGCAGCAGGCCTCACCTCCTTTAGGAAGGACCTTTGGTTTTCTATTGAGCAACCCCAGCTTTTCCTCTAGGAAAACTTTGAGAAGATAACATCTCATATGCCTGAAGTAACTCATTCCCAAATAGGACAAGTGAATTTGTCCCCACATTCCAAAAGAAGCCTGCATGCTTTCCCGCGCCAGCCAGGTAGAGAGCACCTGGGGTGCGACTTGAACCCCCCTGTGGTGCTCTTTCCTGAGGAGAACATACGCAGTGCAGTTGACTTTCTAGGTCCCCAGAAGTACCTTCTAAGGGACAGGCACCAGCAGAAACCCAGGAAGTGGTCCCAGCAAGGCCATAGCTGAGCAGGCACAAGGCAAAAAGGACATCAGAGGAAGAGCCAGGCCAGGCCAGGGCAGACGTCCTGCCGCTCGGGGCCTGGGTGTGGACACACTCAGCAACAGCAATGGAGGAGGCCATCAGGGACAGCACAGAACCTGGGAGGGCAGGGACAATGGAGCAGGCCAGGGGAGTGACCTGCAGGGACAAGTTGTGAGCCACCTAGCCCAGGGACAGGTCCCAGAGCCACCAACGCAGGGTTTGAGGGACTCAGGGAGAACAGCCACACACTGAGAGACAAACTGAGGCCAATCTCAGGAGAGACTTGGGGAAGAATGTCCTTCTGCAAATTATTATGATACAAACTGCCTGACATTGCATGAAGAGCGACTCATACAGCAGGACTCACACAACAGACACCACTGAAATACGAAGATGATTAGAAACCGTTTTGAAAATGTACACTCCCACGAGAGAGAAAACAGACACTGACCAACTCCTAGACACATGTGATCTGCCCAGATGGAACCAAGGGACACACAGGGTGAACAGAGCAATGTCAAGCAATGAAATGGGGGACACTGTCCGGAGCCTTCCGACCAAGGAAAGCCAGGACCAGATGGTTCTCAGCCGAGTTCCTCAAGACCTTCAGAGAAAGTTAACACCAGTACTCCTCAGATTATTCCATGAAATACAAAAGGAGGGAACCCTTCCAAACTCATTCCATGAGGCTAATGTCACCCTGATACCAAAACCAGACAAAGACACATCAAGGTATGAAAACTTCAGACCCATATCCCTGATGCACACAGATGCGAAAATTCTCAATAAAATTCTGGCAAATCACATACAAAAACATTAAAAAGATAGTAGTGCACCACAATCAAGTGAGGTACACCCAGGGACACAATGTTGGTTCAACATACGGAAATCAATAAATGTAATTCATCACATCAATAGACTTAAAAGCAAGAATCATGATCATCTCAATACATTCAGAGAAAGCATTTGACAAAATACAGCACCCCTTCATGTTCAAAACACTAGAAAACTAGGGAGAGTAGGAACGTACCTCAACACTGTAAAAGCTATTTATGCTAAGCCCAAGGCCAGCATCATTCTAAATGGAGAAAAATTGAAAGTGTGCCCTCCAAACACTGAAACAAGATGTGGGTGCCCTCTTTCACCACTTGTATTCAACATAGTCCTTGAAACTCTAGCCAGATGAAAGAAATTAAAGGGATATACATAGGAAAAGATGAACTAAAACTAACACTATTTGCTGACAACATGATTTGATACTTAGAGGATCCAAAAAATTCCACCAGAAAACTTCTAAAATAAATAAATAAATTCAGCAAAGTAGCAGGATGTAAAATCAATACCCACAAATCAAATGCATTTCTATAAATCAGTGATGAATCCTCTGAAAGAGAAATTTAGAAAATTACCCCATTCACAATAGCCTCAAAAAAAAAAAAAAAAAACTTGGGAATCAATTTAACAAAAGAAGTGAAAGACCTCTACAAATGGAAACTACAGAACACTAAAGAAGGAAACTGAAGAGGACCTTAAGATGCGAAGATCTCCCATGTTCTTGGGTAGGAAGAATTAACATTGTCAAAATTGCCATACTACCAAAAGAGTTATACAGATTCAATGTGATTCCAACTAAAATCCCAATTTCATTCCTCATAGAAACAGAAAAAGCAATCGTGAAATTCATTTGGAAAAACAAGAGACCCAGAATAGCCAAAGCGATTCTTATCAAGAAGAGTGAAGCAGGAGGCATCACTATACTACAAAACTATAGTAACAAAAATGGCATGGTACTGACACCACAATAGACATGTAGACCAATGGTACAGCATAGAAGACACAGAGACAAACCCACACAAATACAGTTATCTCATGCTAGACAAAGGGGCCAAAAATAATATACATTGGAGAAAAGACAGCCTCTTCAACAAATGGTACTGACAAAACTAGAAATCCATATGTAGCAAAACGAAATTAAACCCCTCTCTCACCCTACACAAGACTCAACTCAAAGTAGATCAAGGACCCAGCAATTAGACCAGAGACCCTGTGCCTAACTGAAGAAAAAGTAGATCCAAATCTTCATCATGTCAGATTAGGCCCAAACTTTCTTAACAAGTCACCTAAAGTACAAGAAATAAAATTAAGAATCAATAAATGGGATGGATTCAAACTAAAAAGCTTCTTCTCAGAGCTGGGGATGTGGCTCAGCACTGGGTTTGATCCTCAGCACCACATAAAAATAAATAAAAAAATAAAGGTACTGTGTCCAACTACAACATATATATATATAACCAAGGGGGTGAAGAGAGAGCCCGCAGAGTGGCAGAACCTCTTCATTACACACACATCAGACAGAGCACTAATCTCCAGGATATATATAAAGAACTCAAAAAACACCAAAAAAGCAAATAACCCAATCAATGAGTGGGCTAAGGAACTAAAGAGACACTTCTCAGAAGATGATATACAATTAATCAACAAATATTTGAAAAAAATTAACGACTCTATTAATTAGAGAAATGCAAATCAAAACTACTCTAAGATTTCATCTCATTCTAGTCAGAATGGCAGTATTAAGAATATAAGCAACAATAAGTGGGGGAAGAGGCACACTCATACACTGCTGGTGGGACTGCAAATTGGTGCAACCATTATTGAAAGCAGTATGGAGATTCCTTGGAAAACTTGGAATGGAACCACCATTTGACCCAACTATCCTACTCCTCAGTCTATACCCAAAGGACTTAAAATCAGCATACAACAGTGATGCAGCCACATCAATGTTTATAATACCACAATTCACAGTAGCTAAACTGTGGAAGCAACCTAGATGCCCTTCAATAGATGAGTGGATAAAGAAATTGTGGTATACATACACAATGGAGTACTACTCATCATTAAAAGAGAATAAAATTATGGCATTGCAGGTAAATGGATGGAGTTGAAGAATATCATGCTAAGCAAAGTAAGTCAAATGTTCTCTCTGATAAGTGATGCTGGTCCCTATGGTGGTGGGGTCATGGGATGAGTGAAGGAACTCTGGATTGGGCAAAGGGGAGGGAGGGAGAAGAGGGGTAATGGGGGTAGGAAAGATAGTAGAATGAGACAAACATCATTTCCCTAGGTACATGTATGATTGCAAGGATGGTGGGACTCCACTTACAACCAGAGAAGTGAAAAACTGTGCTCCATTTGTGCACAGTGAATCAATGTGCATTCTACTGTCATGCATAACTAATTAAAACAAATTTAATACAATAAAATAATTTTAAAAATTTTTAAAAAGCAGAACATATTTGTTTAGTTTGGAAAGTGTGTAAAATCAGGGGACTGTTCAAATTAGGACGGGCCTTTCAGAAAGAGGGCGGGAAAGCCCAGGAGACACGGGTGAGTGAGGGATCCCTGCAGGAAGGCCGGAGGGATGTGCCGGGAGCTATGCACAGGCATGGGCCTCCTTGGTCACTTGTAGAAATAAAGCATAAAGATCGTGTTAGGATCAATGTTTCCTGATTTTCTGTGCTGCCAGCTGGGTGGTAGGTTTTGATTATTTACTTTGAGCCTGCATCTGCTTTCTACCTGAGAGAAGTACCTAGGAAGTGCCAGTTCGCTCCATGAATAAAGTTTCAAGTGGCTGCCATCTGCAGTGGTAATGGCAGTAGAAGGAGCACAGGTGGTTTGCAGGACCCAGGTGTCCAGCATCTCAGTCAGACCACCCATGTCAGGGGTCACATACGCAGCACTCAGCAATGGTCAGGAAGAGCACCCACTGTGGAATCCACTTCTCCCTCACCATCAGTTCAGATGCAGCCAGCAGGGGCTGCCAGTTGTAGCAGCCAACATTTCCTGATTTGGGACAGACTGGATGACATGGGAGGGGATGACATGGGAGGGGAGGGGATGGGATGACATGGGAGGGGATGACATGGGAGGGGATGACATGGGAGGGGAGGGGATGACATGGGAGGGGATGACATGGGAGGGGAGGGGATGACATGGGAGGGGATGACATGGGAGGGGATGACATGGGAGGGGATAAGATGGTAAAGAACAAGAAAGGTCCCACTCTGATCTTCAAAACGGCTGAGGGGTAGGTGAGGCGTAGCAAGCTAGGAGTGCAAAGGTGTCTTCAGTGATGGGACAGGGACTTAGTAGCTTTTTACCCTGACTCAGGTCATTTGCCCTGCTGATGAGGACGCAATTGTCCCACCTCTTATAACAAACAAGTTTAAGAAAAAATACAGCCACTCATGCCCACAGGTCTAGATTAATCCAAACAGTCATTTATAAGTTACTCATGAGGATAAGTTTTACCTGTGTTTGAAAAGAGGTTTTACTCTCAAAAAAAAAGTAAAATACTTTCCTTATATAAGAGTGGAAACACAGAAATACAGAAAGAAAAGACAATATGTTTCTTTATGACATCTTTTTAATGTTTCAATGCCATTTTAACTGTTAAATTGGATTCATACTAAAAACCATGTTGAGGCTATATTCATTTAAAAACATGAAAAATATTTCTCAATATCATTAAATATTCTTCAAAACCAACACTTCGATTTTTGCATTGAGCCACACAAGATGAATACACCCTTGGCTGTGCCTGGCGTTTGGGGCCTCCACATTGTGAGAGCTAAGCGTGCACACCCTTGGTATCGTCTTTTCATGTCTGTGGCCAGGTAAATGTCTGAAAGAGGAGCCCTGGGGCACACCTCTCTGGCAGAGTGGTACACACCCACCTCCCTGGGAAGCTCCAACTCTGCACTCAGGAACACTGGCTTTATCACTTTGTAAAATTTCGCAAATACATAGAAGAAAAATGCGTGTTTCACTGTGGTTTTTCTTTGCATTCTTTTGATAACTCTAGTATTGACTCAGCTCTACTCACAAGGGCCAAGATATCCATCAGGGAAGGATGGAAAGGAAAGTGCAGAGCATTCACACAGCAGAATGCAATCAACCCTAAGGAAAGGCAATTCGGTCCTTGCGACTGGAGGGTGGACATGAAGCCACCATGCCAACGGGAGATGAGTCACTCTGTGTGATTCCACTCAGAGAGGTATTTAGCCCTCGCAGGGCAGACAGAATCACAAGAGCCAGGACCAGGGAGTTTCAGGTACACAGGGAAATAAGCTCCAGAGACCTAGAACTCACCAGTCAGCCACCCTGCAGGTGCCCCAACACCTAGGAGGGCGGGTCTCCTGGGACATCAGCCACCATAAAGGTGAACCTACACCTAAGGAGGCGGGTCTCCTGGGATGTCAGCCACCATAAAGGTGAACCTACACCTAGGAGGGACGGTCTCCTAAGACGTCACCCATCCTGCAGGTGCATTTACACCTAGAAGGGAGGGGCTCCTGGGACCTCAGTCCCCCTGCAGGTGCACCTATACCTAGGAGGGAGAGTCTCCTGGGAGCTCAGCCACCCTAAAGGTGCACCTACACCTAGGAGGGAGGGTCTCCCTGGGACTTCAGCCCCCCTGCAGGTGCACCTACACCTTGGAGGGCGGGTCTCCTGGGAAGTCAGCCACACTGCAGGTGCACCTACACCTAGGAGGGAGGGTCTCCTGGGCCTTCAGCCCCCTGCAGGTGCACCTACACCTTGGAGGGGTGGTCTCCTGGGAGGTCAGCCACACTAAAGTTGCACCTACACCTAGGAGGGCCGGTCTCCTGGGACTTCAGCCACCCTTCTGGTGAACCTACACCAAGGAGGGCAGATCACCTGGGAAGTCAGCCACCCCTAGGTGCTCTCTGGCAAGTACTCTGACACAATAGAACTGTTTTAAACAAGAAAAAATTCTAAGAAGATCACACCCATCTTCATGCTTGTGGTCCAAGAACAATGGTGACATCACAGCATCAGGACAGAAGCTCACAAAAGGGAGAAGAAAAGGAGATCAGAGATCGCTGAGTAAACGCTGGAGCCCCACCTCTGATGTCCTGATGAGTAAGCAGCCAGGAAGGGGTGGCTGAGACCGCCGCCCTCATGTCTCAGTCTGTTTCATAAACCCCTCCCCAGGACATGCAGGGCATTTACACCTAGAAGGGAGGTGTAAATGCGGAGGGCGCCCTGGCAGGACCTGGAGGGACATCTCCCACTGGGATGGGTGTGGGGCCGTGGAGGTGTGTTGAGAGAGGAAGTAAGGGCACCACGCAGTGTGCTGAGCACGCCTCAGCACAACAGTGAGACCCAGCCACAGGCAGAGCAGAGGGACAGCCAGTCTGGAATCGAGTTGGTGGACCCAGCAGCTGACAAACAGGCCTCCTATTTGAAAAAGGTGGAAACTGCCTGCAGGTGACACCAGCAGGTCACCAGGCTTCCCAGGGAGGAAGTGCCCTGGCTCAGTGGCACTGAGGCAGTCACGGCCTCTGTGGGCTGTGGCGAGCGCCACAGCAGGCATGCTCAGGAGAGGCCACCCCTGCACAGCTGTGCCTGTGGCTGCCCCACACTCTCTGCGTGGCAGAGTGTCCCAGGAACTGCAGGATCTGAGCAGTGAGGGCAGGAAAACACCTGGCTAGCAGCGACCTCGAGGCTCACAGCTGGATGGCCCCCTAAAAGAACGGCCACAAAACCCTTCAGGGGACACACAGGGCCACGGAGGGGATGCACATCATGGAGGAGGAGGTCACCCAGGGACAGGGAGGGAAACCCCATGACTCCCTGGCAGCTGACGTGCTGAGGGCCGAGGACCAGGGACTATGTCTTCAAGTCAGCGGTCATTGCCCCATCTTCCCTCAGCAGTGCAGGACTGGCAAGCAGCTGGGGCGGGGCGAGGTCGCCTTTTTGGTCCTCACCATCAGTGAGCACACAGAGGGTCCCCAGCCCCAGGAGTCTGGCATCAGCACTGGAAGAACTAGGGAGAGCCAGAAGGGCCAGCGCCTTCCAGGTGGGTGGCGTGAGCTGAGATGGGTGGGGTAGGGAGCCCCACCACGTTCTCCACACTGTCCACCTGGGTCACACTTTGTCAGGATAGGCCATACCTGAGCCCAGGTCCCCCTCGGATGCAGACGTGGGAAACCCTGGTGGTCTAGCACTCCTCTTCCCAGCTGAAAACACACAAGCTGCTCGAGAGGTGGCCTCACGACTAGCTAGGGGCAGGTGGCCGGAAAGCCCTTCCATGCTTGCTGGGTATTCCAACTCCTCAGGGGCTAGCTCCATCAACTCCCACAACCTCCAGCCCCCACCAGACCAGCACAAACTGACCAGACAGCAGTGTTGCAAACAGATGCCCGAGCAGCCTTCCCAGACTCAGCTCCAAGGAGAAGCCTGGCTCCATACCCACAGGGTCACCTCCATCCAGCAACACCACAGCCCCAGGGCCCTGCGCCCACCAGGCCATGGCCTAAAGGCCCCCTCATCTGGCTGTGAGAGAGGCACGGCCCTTGGAGCCACAGCAGCAGCTGCCTTGAAATCATGGCAGAGCCAACAGCAGGACAAAGCCCACAGCTTCCCTCTCTAGGTCCCTGTGGCTGTCTCTACAAGAGGGAGGATGCTGAGGGACACTCCTCGGGGAAGGCAGGAGGAGAAAGAGGCAGCCCCCGCCAGGGCACAGAGCACTCCGGAGCAGGCCCAAGCCTCCCTCTCCAGACGGTGCACAGGACACCACAGGCCCAAAGCAGCCTGAGGGCAGGAAACCGGGAGCGTCCACCAGGAGAAGAGGGAGGGCAGGGCACGCTTCACGTCTTCAGACAGGCCAGCCCCAAAGCCACACAGCTCAGAATCCTGACCGTGGTCACCAAGACAGGCGGCTGCCTTCCCAACTGAAACCTGTGGGGGCAGGACACGGCAGGAACACAAAGCCATAGAGGAGCAGGACAGGGACACAAGGGCTGGGCAGGCCCCGGCTCTCTCAACAGTCATTTCTTTAAAAATTTGAAAACAAAGACGACAGAATGTGAAAATTTAACTATTTGTCGTGAACAGCAGGTGTCCCTATAACATCACTTAGCATGGGACAAGGTGATGATCTGCCTTGCCAAGCCGCTCAACCCCCAGGTTCTCTCACCTGTCCCACCAGAGGTCCCCAGTGTGGACATCAGAGGAGCACTCAGAGGGTACAGACTCGGTCCTACACTCTCACCAACGCCTGTTGGCAACATTTTTAACACAAGCCCTTTCTGAGCACAACTTCCTAAACAGGACAGGGAGGAAAGTCCCTGAAGGCCACCTACCTTTTTATCTCATCTCTGACGGGGTCCACATGGTACCTCAGCAGCTGGAGTTCCTGGCCAGAGGACAGTAGAATGAAGGCATCCATGTAGTAGAACTGTGCGGATGGCACCGGCTTACAAAGCCTGCCTCTGCCCTGTGGAGCACATCGTCATCAAAAACGCACAAAGGACATGACAGGATTCATCACCTAGGCAGGAGATCCTCCCCAAACACCCAAGTCTATAGATCCTGATCAATAAATGAATTTCAACACCCACATCTAACTTTAATTCCCAATATACCCTCCACACCCACATCGATCCATCCTCGACACCCACATTGATCCATCCTCGACACCCACATTGATCCATCCTTGAGACCCACAACTATCCATCCTCAACACCCACAACTATCCATCCTCAACACCCACAGCTATCCATCCTAAACACCCACACCTATCCTCAACACCCACAGCTATCCATCCTAAACACCCACAACTATCCATCCTCAACACCCACAACTACTCATCCTCAACACCCACAGCTATCCATCCTTAACACCCACAGCTATTCATCCTCAAAACCCACAACTATCCATCGTCAATGCCCACACCTATCCTCAATACCCACGTCCATCCTCAACACCCACAGCTATCCATCCTCAACCCCCACAACTATCCATCCTCAACACCCATATTTATCCATTCTCGACACCCACAACTATCCACCCTTGATATCCCCAACTATCCGTCCTCAACCCCCTCAACTATCTATCTTCAACACCCAGACCTATCCATCCTCGACACCTAGACCCATCCCTCCTCAACACCCACACCCATCCTCAACCCCACATCTACCCTCTTCACCCATGTTTACCAGCATCATCACCACATCTATCTGTCTTCCACACCCACATCTATCCTCAACCCACACATCTATCCAAACGCTAGATTCAATGCACCTGGTAGAACTAACCTACTGCATTGATGCTGCTTACTTGCTATTACTGAAAGGCTTTCTAGGATCAAATTTTACCATAATGAGCATTTTGAGTTCCAACCGTTTACAAACCTTAAAATGAAAACAAATCTAAACTTCACATAAAATACAGTATTAGCAAGGACTTCCTTAGTGTTGGGATTTTAAATACATTTTGCAGCAGAGTTCTCTCACAGACACAAGCCTCACAGCTGGAAATTCACACCTCCTTTCTTAAGCACCGCCAAGCACTTGTCCACAGACCCTGGGACCTAACTGACCACCTTCCCTTCTCCTCCCAGCAGTACTCAAACCTACTGAGCATAATGGCTTCACCACGCAGGACCTGCTCCTGTGGGTTCACTGGGACTGTATCTCTGCCTCTGCTCAGCACTAGCTCAAGAAAAGACCAAGAGTCAAAATTCATACCTTCTTAAAGGGAAAGAAATCATATGGTCCTCAAACCATCATAGTTGAGGACCCCCTGCATTCAAGATCCATAGAAGATCAACATTACCATTTTTCAAAATGTCACACTTCTTATGTGTTCAGTTTGTTGTTCACCAGGTCATAAGTTCATGAGCTGAAGTCCAATCTCCTATTATAACATCTGCTTCTTAGTGCAAGATTATTGCAATTTTCTATCACTCCTTTCTCATTCTATGTTCAAACACCCTCACATAAATTCATTAACACAAGTCATTTAACTCCCCCAGAAGACACTTTCTCCACATAATCTCCTCTTGGCCATTACTAGCTTCAGTATAAAATCACACTGAATGAGCATCAGAATGACTCAAGCACCTTGGTACTGTTCTGCCATCTGCAAACCATGGCAACTGTGAGGCTAAGTCAACCCATGTACACTGCACGCAGCGTGCACCAGGTATGGATGTATGTGTGTGCGCCGGCTGTGAGTTACGCGTGTGTGTGTCTTATGTGAATGTCTGCATCAGGAAACTAACTGATGAGCAGTTTCTACCGCACTGAAGCCAACCCCTGGCTCATATCCATTTCCTAATCTCTGGGTTAGGTAAGAGGGGGCCTTTGAGGAAGCCATGACTGTCAACAGCTCATGCACAGACCCCACAGCTTCTATATTACCAGAAGCAGCAGGAGCTCCTTCCTGTGAACCGACCACAGCCTCAGAGTCTGGTCCTGGGCAGTAGAGAGCAGCCACCTCTGGTCATGGCTCCAGCAGAGGGTGCTCACAGCTCCATCATGACCTAAAGGACCAGGAGAAAGGAGGCGCATTACCTGCACTTTCCTCCCGTGCACCACCAGGCCTCATTCAAGGAGTAAGCTATGCCGCTGGCAGCAGAGCCCCCTACGGCAATGCCACAGAGCCAAAGCTTTGACAGAAGCTCGCGGTGCACAGGCATCACTACCACAGCTTCTAGAGTTTTTGATAACCTCATCGCTCTTAAAACATGCAGCTCAAAGTCATGTGTACATCTGTGAGTATGCACTTTAAGAAAGGAAAGCTATAAAATGTAGCACTGTAAAAGAGGACAGCGATCTGAGGACTTCATAATCATGAGTCAGTACTTTGAAGAACTGTGTATGCACAAACCCCACTAAATCTCAAAGTACACTTCAAATACATCTTTTGATGGGAGTAATGAAATGCGTCCCAGTTAATTAAGACTCATGCCCCTCCCAGCCTACAGCTGTACACTCTTGCTCCTGACCTTCTTCCCTGGGTGTCACAGGCATGCAGGCAGGCACCCTTCCACTCCCAGACCAAGCCTTGGCCCTGCACTGCCACTGTCCCGCAGGAGGCCAAGTATGCCACCTGCTGACCACCATGGGACTTACCCTTCAGCTCTAGCACCCTGAAACAAAGACCCTTACCTGAAAGGGCAGCAGGTGTTCCAGTAAGGCTGGCTTCAAAGACCAGAGAAAGACTGTTGGCTAAGCCACAGGCCAACCACCGTCCATCTCCTGTGTGAAAGTAAACACCGTTTATAAAACCCTGAAGCCTGGGAACCCCACTGCAGGTCAGAGGAACCTGGACATTCCTTCCCTTGGTGGGGAACAAGGTTGTCAACAGGCCCACCAGCCCTCAAACACGCAGCATCTTGCATGGGCCCTTGCAGTGTGACAGACTCAGGTTGACCCTCATACAAAGCAGGACCATCTTCCCCACGACCCACAGAGCAACAGCTGCTGTGATCATCGCCGCCCTCAGTATACAGGGAAGACCCAGAGGGATAGGCTGAGCCCAGGTCCTGGAGGTAATCCACAGCAGGAAGGAGGAACCCAGAATGCGCTCCCAGGACACCACCTCCAACATTGCACTGTGCTGCCGCATGGCTAGGAAGCACACCAAGCCATACAGCCTGGGGAAAAGATTACAGATGTCATCCCCGTTCAGACTTGAGGATCTCCACCAGGCAGATGTCCTATCTCGATAACATCAAGCACATCAAATATTCAAAAGTTATTTAGCAGCAACATTACAGACATAAGTTCACAAAATTATGCAAAAAAATTTTGGTTAGAGTTACATAAAAAAGACAGGGATTTTGGCAGTGTAATAAATAATAAACTTTTAGTTTTTCACCAGAAATCTTTTGGACATGAAGCAGGTAGAGTGAAGGAAGTACTGGCACAGGGGACATCTCACCCAGCCAAACCAATGCACCTCTAAGTACACCTATCAGAGACGAGGGAAGGGAGCTGCCTCAGCTGACTGCAACCCTCTCAAGGCTACCTCCCCACTTACCAGCTTCCTGGAAAACAGGATGAGGTGCAGAAAAATGGGTGTGGACAAGAAGGAGAAGCCATTCCATACGGAACTACTATGGGGAAGACTAGACGGGTCATATATGCAGGAAGGAGCCCAGCAAACCATCACCATAGGAAGAGATCAGCACACACTCCAGGAACACACGTCGTGAACAAGGAGCACACGTCTCCAGAGAAAGCTGGAGACATAGCGCAGCAGAAAAGAGCCCTGCCCCTGCCCCTGCCCCTGCTGAGCAGAGGGTGAGCACCCCTCAGGAGGGCCCGTGGAGCTCCTGAAAGGAACCTGAGAGTGAGGAGTGAGCCTGCACAGGGACAGGGTGGGAAATCTGCTCTGGGCACCCTACACCAACATGGGATTAAAGTCCTCAGCAATCCAGCTGTTCAATTAAGTGCAATCACAGCTTTTCTTCACATCACATGGCTGTGAGTACCTGAGTACTGGACACAGGTCACAGCAGTGGGCTCCTGGCACACAGCAACCTGCTTGCTGGGTTTACTTGGCACGGAGGTCTCCAAAGGGTACTCCTCACTGGTAGGAGAACAGAAAAAATAAAAATAAAGGGCTTATGTCAATGAGTTTACAAATAAACACGAAACCAGGTGAAGTGGATTTCTCCTAATTACCTAATATTGTTCTATAAACTTGGAAATATATGAACTCTACATTTGGAAACACATAGGACTACAGAAAGATACTAACGTTCAAAAATTTTTAAAGGGAATGCATTTAAATGAATCATTATTCCTACATGGCCTAGAATACACAGCTACTACCTATAATAATGATGCTAAATATAAAAAATTCACTAGAAGAATTCTCTTGTATGAGTATCATGGAATGCATTACACAAGAGGCAGCCATAAACTCCAGCTGTATAGCAGAAACACAGCCATGGACTAGAGCATGCTGGTAGGTGCAGATGCTCCTGGACTTAAAGTCAGGCTGAGGCACAATACCCCTCTCATCATCTGAAAATGCAGTAAGTCAAACATGCCTTTGCGGGAGCATGGAAGGTGGAAGAAGCAAGCTCAGCAGCTGTTCCCAGTCTCCTCACATCACGGAAAGGAGGCAGAGGATGAGGAGCAGAGTCAAGAACCCCAAACCCAGGCAAAGGCAGGAAGCTGGGCCCCGACACCACGAGACTCACTCAAGAACAAAGCAAGGAAGCTGCTCTGGCCCTGAGCAAAGGAAAGCGGATCCGCGAGGCCCCACAGCCCCACCACTGACCTTGGTGGGCAGTGCCATGGGAAACCCGGGACTGTCCCCAGGACTGTGGCACCCTACCAGAGGGGAGCTGTCTGACTACTCAGGGGCATCGAGATCCACTTCCCAGATGGTGAAAGCCATAAACAGAAGCCTGCCAGGGTAAGGTCCCTGGATACCCCACGCATCTGAGTCAGAAGGTGCCGCAAACACAGCCCGAGGGTGATGGGAGGGGAGACTACCAAAGCCAAAGCAACAGGAAGTGGCTGCTCCAGGCTTCCTGGCACCCAGCCTGATCTGTCATCTCCACTGGCAAGTGACAGGGCATTGTTTGGATACCGGTGGGTTCTTCCATCAGACATAGTCAACAGGGGAATCAGGACCCACCATCACAACCTGGGGCAGGTGAACCACCAGAGACCCTTCACCACAGTACCCAGAGAGTAGCATCAGCCAGGGGAGTATTTCTGCACCACAGAACATTTGCAGAAAATCTACAACCAGAGTTCCTGTGCTCGAGGACAGCCACCAGGATCTCCACCACCATGGACACAATCAAACAGAGGAGAAGAGGTACAGCAGTCATTGGGTAGCTCCAGAGCCTGCATCCTGAAATCTTCACACAACAGAAAGAACCAAGCCTCAACACTGCACCCTCTGAACAGTCAGTGGCAGGCCCCAGAGCTGACAAGCCAGAACCAGCTGATGGCAGGCTCATAGCAACTAAGGAATTAGCTCCTGTGCACCTGCAATTCTAAAGAGATCTAGAGCAAAGACACGGACATCTGCTAACTATCTAAACCCCAATAGAATCCTATCCAAGAAGCAACAAGACTGTGCTCCACCCTGACCTGGGTTACCACAAATAGCTCTTTGACTTGGATGATAGCTGTACCCCCATAGCCAGCATTGTGCCTTCCACCCCCTGGTCTGTCTTTCATCTAGTGGTTTAGAGCATTAGTTAGAACCCACCTTCCTATCTTTCTTCTAGTTTATATTGCTCACTCTACCCCCTTTCATCTTCTTGCTCTGTCTATTGCTACTTCAAATACCACCATCCACTTCTCCTTTCTACCTTGCTGTGAATCACTCTTTTATATATTTTCTCTCATTTTTTCTTCCTGTCTCACTTTTTCTCTCCTTTTTTGTTCTAGTTTTAATATTTAGGCAGTTAGTTAGTCAGTTTTCGGCAGACACAACATCTTTGTCTGTATGTGGTGCTCAGGATCGAACCCGGGCCGTACGCATGCCAGGCGAGCGCGCTACCGCTTGAGCCACATCCCCAGCCCACTTTTTCTCTCCTTTTTTGCCCAATCTTTCTCCCCCCCCCACTGTATCCCTCATTTACAGTTATATGTAAGTTTACCAAGTGCAAAAAACTATTTTTTTACCTATTCCAGAACCATATACAAGTTCAAACATGGGTTTAAGGAACTGTGGAGAACCACAGCAACCTGTTTTGTTTCCCGTGAGGTTGAAGAGCATGAGTCTGAAGTGACTACAGTGAGGAGGACTCAGTGGCGTCCCTCAAAGTGGTGCTGACATTGGAATCGGCAGAGGTCACATACTGACTGAAAATATCAGTATCTGCATATTTACCCAACCCAGAGCTCTTAGAAGAAAGAAGCTCACAAAGTAGTCCCTTGCTAAAAGGAATGAGAAGTACCCAATAGATGAGTCGAGATTCAAACAATGTGACAAAGCAGGGAAACAAGCTGCCCAAACCGCCCAAAATGCTTCAAAACCGACTCCATCAATGCAAAAGTGAAGGAAATGTGTTTAGTCAGATTTTTTGCTGCTATGACTAAAAGACCTGACCAGAACAATTATGGAGGAGGGAAAGCTGGTTTAGGGGCTGACAGTTCCAGAGGTCTCAGTCCACAGACAGCAGGCTCCACTCCTCGGGACTCCGCCAGCAGGACATCATGGTGAAAGGCAGCAGAGGGAAGCAGCTCACGTGGGTCAGGAAGCAGAGAGAGTCTACTTGCCAGAATCACACACATACCCAGAGCCAGGCCCCCAACGCCCCACCTCCCCCAGCCACACCCCACCTGCCCTTGGTTCCCACTCAATCCCATCCGTGATCAATTCACTAATATGGGGTGAAGGCTCTTAAACCCATCACGTCTCCTCCAAAGCTTCTTGCATTGTCTCAGACATGGGCCTTGGGAGGACAACGCACATCCAAACATGACAACATGCCAGAGAAGGAATCTAGAAAGTCCATAGTTAGAATGTGCCGCAGTCTGGCTGGGCACACAATCACGAGCCACCACACAGCTTCTAGATTCAAACAGCAACTCTTTATTCCCTAACTCACACCAGCCGTCTACAAACACGTTCTGGGGAAATCCACGTTCTCTGCCCAAATCCATCCCCCTGGGCTTCTGTCTCCCAAAAATAGGGCGTATCCTGCTGCCTGAGTTCCCCTTGAGTTCTCACGGGATTCAGACAGTATTTTTGGGGAACAGTAGGCTTATTACTGGGACGTAGTTCATCTACATTAAAAGGACTTATGATAAGTCCTAGGGTAATTGATCCCGATTATGTAGGTGAAATAAAAATTATAGCTAGTTCTCCAAGAGGTATATCAGTAATTTCACCTGGAGATAGAATAGCACAGTTGTTAATAATACCCAGCCTACATAATAAATTTCCTAGTCATAGTGTAGAAAGAGGTTCCAGGGGATTAGGCTCCACAGGTGTAGATTGGGCTATGTTGTCTTTAAATTTAGATTCTCGCCCAATGCTAAAACTAAATATTCAAGGTCATGAGTTTAATGGGCTACTGGACACAGGAGCTGACCTTAGCATCATATCTCGTCAAGAATGGCCAAAACATTGGCCATTACAACAAGCCACTCAAACGCTTCGAGGCCTAGGAGTGGCAACTAATCCCCGTACGGGCCGCCAAATGCCGCAGTCTGGCTGGGCACAAATGCCGCAGTCTGGCTGGGCACACAATCACGAGCCACCACACAGCTTGTAGATTCAAACAGCAACTTTTTATTCCCGAACTCACACCAGCCGTCTACAAACACGTTCTGGGGAAATCCACGTTCTCTGCCCAAATCCACCTCCACTGGGCTTCTGTCTCCCAAAATATACTCTGAATCCCGTGAGAACTCAAGGGGAACTCAGGCAGCAGGATACGCCCTATTCCCAGCAGGAATAATCTTAAACCTTAAACCTGGAACCTAAACTGGGAACGCCCTAAACACGATTATCTTAAACCGGGAACACCCTAATCCGCCCTGGTCCTTGAGCAAGGTCACCTACATTCAATGTCACTGCAACATGGGGTACGCTGGCAAGGAAATTGTCATACCTACTTGGCTAATGGCTCCCAGCAATGATCCAGAGGCACAAATCCAAATACTGCCTATTCTGACACATAGAAGTTTAAAGAAAAGTTGACCTAAATGTACAAAAATGTTGCTGGCATTTGGAAAGAAGCAGGTGAGGAGGGTGGATAATGGAGGCTGGATTTGATCATGTGTTTAAATCCCACACTAACCCTCACCAAAATGTACAGCTAACACATGCTAGTAAGCAATCGGTGTTCTGAAGCATTTCTGTAAACATAATTGCCCAAATGCAAATACAATGTAAATTAAAACGATGTTCATTTTGATAGCCCATACCCTCTTCCCATCATGGCCCAGCCCTGCAAAGAGACTAGGAGGACCCAGCTCTTCTTTCTGCACACCCAATCATGAGTCAGAGTAAGGGTCAGGGCTTGGCCCTGCTGGGCAGAAGGGACTTCCAAATCAAGCAGCCACTGAAAACAGCAGTGGCTCTTCAGCTGCTAGTTTCATCCACTCCGATCTTGGACGCTCGTCAGGATTAATCATCAGCTACAGCTCTCTTCTAAAACTAAATTTTAACAAAACATAAATATTCAGAATTGTCAAGGTGGTAAGAAGAGCAGTGTGTCTGAAAATCAACACCAAAAGAATCTGACTAAAAGGATACCTACAAATAGTACAGCTAGAGACCCATGTTTGCATACACACTAACCTACGCATACAAGGTCTTTGTTATGGTTCAAGTGTGAGGCGTCCTGCTAACGCGGGCATGTTCGGAGGTGAAATGACTGGACGGTGAGAGCTGACACCTGAATGGACGAGTTGGAATGGAGTGACTGGGGGTGACTGGGGCAGGCGGAGTGTGGCAGGAGGAGTGGGCTGTGGGGTGTGCCCTAGCAGAGCTGCCCTTCCTGCAGCCCCTTCCTGCCTCTCCTCTCTCCCTCTTGACCATGCCATGAGCCTCACCTTAGGACCACAACAATGGACTTGGCCATCTGTGAAACCCTACACCCCAATACACTTTTCCTCCTCTTAGTTGTTTTTATCAGGTACTTGGTCAGAGATGGAAAAGATGACAAAAACAGTCTTATACCTGTTTGAGAAAAATCAGATAGAGCATTTAAACATCTAAGTTATTTAAATTTACTTGGAAGGCATTCACTAACTTTCATACCGTTTGCAATTGATCTTGCATTTTGAAGATCTTTTACCGTCTTTCTTGATGTTAGTCTTTGGTGAAAACATAGTGACACTGTGGAAAGAAAATGCTTACATGTCACTTTCAGAGATTAAATTTCTTAAGAGATCTACATATTACAGGAGAAGGAATATGTACACACCTGCATGAATAGTTTCAGCTGCCTCCTGCTCCTCCTTCCTCCATCTGTCCCTCTATCCCACACCTCAGAGATGTCACCATGCTGCACATCTCCAAAACTTTCTAATATCCTGCAATGCTACCCTGAAATTCTCCTGTTAGGTTTCAAATTGCAGCAAGGCACTAAGGACACCATGACCTGGGACCTGCGTCTTTCCCCTGGGCTCCAGCACACAGTCCCACATCCACAGCATGCCTCAAAACAGTGGCCCAAGGAGTCCACATTCAATGTCACAGATGCCACAGGCACTGAGGCACCCACAGGTTAGGGACATGGACTGATGCATAATTTTGCTGAGACACAAATCTAGAATCCATCCAACCATCCATCCAACCATCCATCCAACCATTCACTCTTCCCTCCATGCGTCCATCTCTCCATTCATCAACCCCTCTATCCAATCATCTCTCCATCCATCTTCCATTTTTCCATCCATCCATTCATATCTCCATCTATCCACAGTCCCTTCCTATCCATCTCTCCACCTATCAGTCATCCCTTTCTCCATCCTCATTCATCTCTCTACCCATCCATCCACATCTCCACCCATCCACCGTACATTTCTCCACCTACCCACCCATTGATCCATATGTCCAGCCATCTGTAATCCTCTCTCCAACCCTCCACCCATCCATTTATCATCCTTCTCTCCATCTATCCACATCTCTATCTAGCCTTCTCTCCATCCCTCTCCATATCTTCACCCATCCATTTCTCTACCCAGATGCCTGTCTCTCCATCTTTACCTCCATCCATCCACCACTCACCCATTTACAAGTGTCATATAAGAGAATCTGAGGTGCCAAGTGTCACCCCAAGCATAGGGGTCTGCAGATCAGACACTAAGTGAAACAGTTGTGCCTGCTACTGGTGAGGCCAAAGAGAAAGAGTGATGCAGGAAAGGGCCATGGGAGTGGAAGAGACTGAGACCAGAGAAGCTTGGGACTTCGGCCCAGACGAAGCCTGAGCAGGGCCCTGGGGATGGAGGTGGACTTGGAGAGAGACTGGAGGGAGCGGGGAGGCGAGGGCAGCAGTATGGCAAGGCAGGGGCGTTCAGCCAAGGCCTGCCATGTGCTCTAAGCAAAGGTGCCGTATAGAGTGCTTCCAGGTAACAGGGCTGCTCTGGTCACTATGTGAAGGACAAATAAAGGGTCCCGACTTGGCAGGGGGTGTCTACATTCAATAAAGAAAGACAATTTGCCTTTGAGAAATTCAAGGCTTATGAGGGGCCAGGGGATCTGGACACTCAGCTGTAGTCTAGGCATCCTGTGTTTCGCATTTCCTTGACTGTGAACCTCACATAGTCAGCACCTCTCCCTTCGGCTTTGAACAACCTGAATCTCAGTGCTCTAGTGCTGCAGTTCTAAAAAAGGCCCTGTCAGCCTTGGTGGGCCACACCATTCCCAGCACCCCACTCCTCCTGTTCCCATCCTAGCTTCTCACTCACCAGAGTGGGTGGGCTTAGGAGGGGCCCAGTACACAGTAGTGACCCAATAAACCTCTGCTGCTGCAGTGCCCCCCACAGCAGGGACAGACATTCTGGGGTCTCCGCCACCACATCACAGCTCCTGCTTAGAACCCTGCCCCTCTCCATGATGGGACCCTCAAGGACCCATCTGTGTCCATATTTGAACCCACGTCTGAGGCAGGGCCACGGTTTTGCTCTGTACTCACCGCGGTGGCAATGCGTAACCGGACGACCTGACTTTGGTGTGGAAAACCAAGGGCTGGTCCCCCACGGCACTCTGCACAGCTGTGGGAAGACATTAGAGAAGCAGCAGATATTTAATGTCACGACTCACTGTGAACACAGAAAGAGCACAGTCTCTTAAAACAGAGAAGTCCACACAGACCAGAGGAGCTTCTGACCTACAGTCGAGAGGCCCCATGGTGAAGTGCAGGCCCACACAGCAGCCAGAGAAGACTAACCATGGGAATGAGAAGCATAAGGACAGTTCCCTCTCATTCCTTAAATTGCACTCAGTTGCATGGGCAGAACACAGTGCCCTTCAAAGGTGCCCTTCAAACGCTCGTGGACGATGCCAGCTCTTCTGTGCTGTGCTGCTTCCAGTCGTGGCTGGAGCACAGGTGGGAAGGAAGCCCTGGGGCTGCGGGCAGGGTAGGAGACTGCCTGGGAGCAGTGTCTGGGAGCAGCATCTGTCCATCAGTGACAAGCACGGCCTTCCTACTAAGGACCCAGACGCACACAGCCTCTCTAGGAGAAGGACACAGCTGCTTGCGGTGTCCATGCATAGAGCACCAAGGAAGCCTGGCTACGGCGACACCTGGTGCCTTCTAACAGAAGTGGAACTCCTCACCAAGCTCTAACACACACACAGACACACACACACAGACACACACACGCACAGACACACACGCAGACACACACACACAGACACACACAGACACACACGCACAGACATACACGCACAGACACACACACACATAGATACACACACAGACACTCACACACACACGCAGACACTCACACACACACGCAGACACAGACACACACACACACACGCACATGCACACACACACAGAGGCACACACACAGACACCCTCTCCGTGCTTCACAAAAAACCCAGCAACACATGAACTTACCACAAATACTTGCAAACCTCAAAAATGCTCTCAGATGAAAAACAATTTTGCCAGAACTATTTGCTTTTGCGTAAATTTAATCCTTGATGTTAAAGATAATTTTTTTTAAAATATTTTTTTTGGTTGTAGATGGACACAATATCTTTATTTATTTATTTTTACGTGGTGCTGAGGATGGAACCCAGTGCCTCACGTGTGCGAGGCGGGCACTCTGCCACTGAGCTATAGCCCCAGCCTCTAAAGATAAATATTTTGCACAAATTATAAAATAGCTTCAGAAAAATGGATAAATGCATAATATTAAGTGATAGGTGTTTTTTGTTTTGCTTTGCTTTGTTTTACAAAGAAATTCAGTTCTGTTTCTGGTACTATTTCAAACGTGACACCCCAAATGATGCCCCATTGAAACCAAGCACACCTAATGAGTGAACTCTTCAGACATGGCAGGGGACTGCCCACCGTAGAGGAAAGTCGTATAATGACTTCCTACTCTTCAGAACAGGGAGCTCCAGTGGCAGAGCTCCCAGAAACACCAAGGAGGTGGGTGTCCACCACAGCCAGGCCTGGGGCACACATGGGCACAGCCAAGGTCAGAAGGCAGGCACAGGGACAGCTTCCTGCAAGGGGAGGGTACAGTGCGAGGCAGCTCTGCGGTGTCGGTGAGCAGAATATAAAAATGGTTTGTTTGAGGGCCTGAATTGTTTTAAGCAGGCCAAGTAAGACGTTTAACACTACTGAGTTAAGAGTTCAGACTGAACATTGAAGGGAAAAAAAAAAGCAAATATCAGTGATTCCTACACAGTGAGTACTGGGTCACAAGGAAGCCTGCCTCTCAAATGAAAGCAACTTTCAGATCTTTTCTTGGAAAAAAAGCAACAAGTAGGTTGTTAAGAACAAAGGCATAAAAAAGCATTTTTTAGACAATCAAGAATAACGAATCATGGTATGGCCAATACAAGAGACCAAGGGTCACAGTTTCTTTGGATAGAACTACATCATGGTTGGTTGTCTGGGAAACACATGCTGGAGTACGCAGGGCGGATCAGCAGGACGTGTGTTCACTGGGGACCCCCCACGTGCACCCAGCCCTGGCCACAGACACAACCACCGGTGTGAAGCCAGCCTCTGAATGCCTGTGAAGGACCCCAGCTCAGGAAGAGACACCGCACACCTGCCCGGCCACGGAGGGTGTGCAGTCCACTCCAGAGAGGCAGGGCAGCACAGCGACTGGCATGTTGAGCGGCAGAACCCACAGAGCACTTCCCAGTGCTGCCGACAACAGGAACTAGTCAGCTTTGCACTTTGATGTTTTAGAGTGTGTTCTACTAACCAGATTGTTTGTGACCAGCAGGTTTAGTACTTTTCCCCTTAACAACTCCAAGATACAGGGGAGAAGTTGGTAGCACACAGGAGCTGAAACAAAAATAAAGCCAGGCTATAAAGCAAACAAGGATAAAATGGAATTGCTCAATGGAACACACACGATAAGTGTGGTAACAAATGATTAATTCACACAGACAAGGACACACAATATTTAGAAATAAAAACTACAATATTTGGAAATAAAAACTATTAAGCTTATTCTTGTTCTGAAAGGAAAATTCAGTATATTTTAATAAATGTGCTATCTTATAATCTGCATTCTATTCTGAAATAAAATAGTATTTTGTGTTAAACAATGAATCCCTTCATTTTCAATAAGATAAAAGAAGCAATGGTATGAACAATAATTCCTTTCACATAGGGTTAGGATGGCTGAGTATTTACTAAATTTTACCTTTATTTCTTAACATAAAAAGAAATCTAGTTAGGCATTGTGGTACACATCTGTCATCCCAGTGACTTGGGAGGCTGAGGCAGGTGGATTGCAAGTTGGAGGCTAGCCTCTGCAACTTAACAATACCCTAGGCAAGTTAGTGAGAACCTGTCTCAAAATAAAAAAGAAAAAGGCTAGGGACGTGGCTCAGTGATTAAGCACCCCTGGCTTTAATCCCTGGTGCCAAAAAGAAAAAAATCTGAAAAATGCTCACTGATCAACACAATCAACACCCACATGGGGACATCGCCCTCGAGCAGACTGTACCTCGCCAGCACTGACAGTGCCTTCTCAGGGACAGGGCCCTGCTGGGACCTCACCAGAGTATCCAGGCTGATTTCCAGTATGGCAATTCTCTTCCCAAACATGGACGTGAGCAGGCAAAAGGCCTATGAAGGACAGCATTGTGACACAGTTAATGACATGGCCAGACACTAAGGAGACCGCAGGTCTACATCCACAGCCCTCCTCACAGCACGGCTTTCCACGTCAAGCCTGCCGCACGTGGGCCAAGCTGTGCCACTCGACAGGTGCGTGCAGCTGCACAGCATGCACAACTCGGGGCAGTCTCTGTGCCATGCCAGCTGGCAGTGCTGCGGGAGATGCGCCTGGCAGGAGCAGGGGGCGAGACCTCCACTGACCTTGTGGTCAGCAGCCTGGCTCGTCACAGCGCAGGAACCAGCCACCTGGACGCTGAGGCACCTGAAGTCTTGACATGCAGCAGAGACAAGGAGACAATGTTAGGTGGCAAGCCAGGGAACCGAGCCTGGCAGACCCATCCATTCCACCTGGTTACCTGCACCAGTAGCCAGGGACATGGCCAGGGAGGAGATGGGCCTCCCTGTCATGAGGCCCAGAACCAGACACTGGGCAGGAGGTGACAAACGTGAAGCCGCAACAGGCTGTGCGAGTGTTGGAGAGAGAGGAGAAGGGAGCTTCCAGTGAGGACCCACCTCCCAGGACTGAGCAAGTGGCCCTGACGCTGAACAGCAGGGACGGGACGGGGGCACAGTCAGTGGAGAAGAGGCCTGAACTGGTCCACTCGCCCTGCAGTCTGGAGGACTCAGAGGACAGAAGGAAAGCCGTGACCTTGGGGCACCCAACAAGAACCAGGGGCCCTGGAGGACCGAGAATGGGATGTGGCCCAGCAGAGGAATGCGACTCCACCCTGAACGCCTCGGAAGCCTCAGAAGGACCAAACCAAGTGAGCCTCGAAGAAGAGGCTCTAAGCTCTTGGCTCCAGTGCAGAGGAGAGAGTGGCCAGGGTGGACACCTTGCAGATAGGTGGAGGCCAGGACTGGGTAAGTGCCACTGCTTCCTGCTGGGCACAGAAACCCGAGAGTGACCGAGAGCCAGGAAGGACAGGGCCTCAGGTCAGGGTGACAACACATGGAGACGGGGGTCTGTGAGCTGGCAGTACTCAGGGCATGTGTGTGCAGGGAGAGGGGGTGCACAGGAGCCTGGTGCATGTGAAGAAGAGGGCCGGGACACAGCACAGAGGGGTGCAGAAAGGCTGAGCAACACAGGGAAGGGGCTGTGGCGGGGGGGGGAGGGGGTGCACACCACAGGTGCTGATTCTGCCAAACGGTCGGGAAATGCAGGACTGAAGCAGTGTCCTTTGGGTTAGAAACACAGAAGTCACAGGTAAGGAGCCACGTTGCTTCTGATAAAAGTGACCTTCAAACCTGAGCGGTAGGCTTGCACCCCTAAACTTCACCACCCCTCGTGTCATTTCAAGAAACCCTCAAGTGTAAGAGACCATGTCAGAGAAGACTGAACTCTGTCTCACCTTTGAAGTGTAGTGCGTGCTCCAGTTCCAAGCTTGCCAGGTGGAATATGAACAGACCAGTTGAGCTTGCAATCCACAAGCAGGTGCTGCTCTCAGAAGGGAGGCTGCTTTAAGGCAAGAGGAACATCATCAGCAGAACTTCTCCGTCAAGATTAGCTCCACATGTTCCTGGTGTTGCTGCCCTTTCTCCACACATGGGGGCAGCACGTGCCCCCTGCAGGCACCCAGAAGGTGTGTGCACGGGCACTGCAGTCGGTGGGCTCCTCCTATTCCTACCTGCACCGTAAAATCTGTGGGGTTGATGGCCGCTCACCGGCCATCTCCTAGAGGCAAGTGGCCCCAGGTGGCCACAGGCTGGCCCCACCTAAGTCTGATCCTCATTACAGGAGGAGGCAAGTTCAGAGAGGAGACCAACTGCCCTGAGTGCAGAGCTCGCAGGCAGAGTGTGAACCCCAGTCAGAGCCCCCTGGTCCCCCACTGTCAGGGCGCAGCCCAGCTCCTGGCTTCACCGCTGGAGCAGTCTGCCCTCCCACCGCAGGCCCCTGCTCCACACCGTCCAGACCCTCAGGTCCTGCACACAGCATGAGGTGGGGTGCTCCCGCTTTGCCCTGCCCTGCAGGTGCTCCCCTTCTCTGAGGAGGACAGCAGGAACCCTCTGCCTCTGGTCCAGAGACTAAGGCTGTAACACAAGGTCAGCCTGCCTTCCTGAGCCTGCTGGTCCCAATGGATGAGGCCCGCAGGGAGTTCTGGACTCCTAGGACCAAGGCCATTGGGCCAGCTGCCCACCTGTCGTCCCCCACTCCATCCAGAGGAGACAGGAGGCTTGTCTTCTGTGGGACTCGTAATCTCTAAGTTATGTCACACGGTCTTAGGGGAGAGGTGAATACAGCTATTACAGACCATTTAGCCACTGACGAGGCCTCCACACGTCGCTCTCCGGCACAGAGGTAAAGAAGTGAAATTCACAGGGGATTACTTTTAAATGTATAATACACGGCACACGTGGAGGGAAAGGAGAAGTCAGAATGAGTTATGATTACCATGCCTCGTTCTAAGGAAAAGTGCCCTTACAGAGGTAAAGATTTGCCTAGATTTTGGTGAGCAGAATTGAAACCATCTAATTTCTTTTATTCAAGAGGCTTAAATCAAACCAAATTTACCAATTCTTAGAAATGAAATATGCAATTCTAAGAGAGCTTGCACCCAATCAGAGGCAAAAGTGATCTGGCTTTGTTCTATTTATTCCTCAAACCTAAACATAACACGCAATTAAGGAATTTGTGTGTGGGAGGTGCTGGGATGGAACCCAAGGTTGTGCACAGGCTAGGCCAGTGCTCTACTGGCCAGCCACACCCCAGACCCTTTCTTTTTTCTTCTTTTATTGTGAGATGGAGTCTCACTAAGTTGCCAGCCTGGATTCAAACTTGCAATCCTCCTGCCTCAGCTTCCTGTGTAGTTGGAATTGCCGTGTGCAGCACCTGCCCTGTTCACCTGAGGGATACAAAGGTTTCTCTTCATGATTTTGGCCCAGCTTGCCATACATACACTCCACATCCAGCATCTAGAAGGCGTGGAAGGTAGCAGCCTGCCAGCATCAGGATGGGGAGGGCTGCTTCGGCCTCTTCTCCTTGGTCCAGCATCTTCCTAGAGGGGCGCTGAGTCTCCTCTAGGGAACAGAATCATGGACAATCTGAAATTAGGCTTATCGACCAAGTTGAAAGGCAGACAGCTGACTTAGTGGGAGGTTGCCACAGGTATGAATTGCTAGAATACCTCAAATCAAGAATCAGAGAAATCATTCTAAGTATCATTAAAAAAAAAAAAAAAACAGAAACATTGTGTCTTCCATCCTGAAGTCTGTGAACAATGAAATTTCAAACATAGAACCCAAAAAAAGGAGTGGAGAAGAAGAAATGGTCGACATGGAAGCTAATTTCACATTTCCCAAGACAATCTTAGGGTTTACCTCTAGAATAAGAGTATATTATTTATAAGACAAATAATGAAGGCAACGTTTAAAAAATACTTTTATTGGAAAGGTAATTTCTGACCTGATACATAAAGAAACAGTTTACAGCCACCTACAAAAATCTCAGAGGAAAAGAAGAATAGCGACAAGAATCCCTGCACAGACAGCAGGTCTGTGAAAATGAGAGCTTAGCCACACAGGGACACAGGGCTCCCAGCAGAGCGTGGCGGAGGGACAGTGCTCTGGGGACAGGGAGGGAAGAGCTCAGCATGGCAGGACAAGAGAAGGCCTGCGGGTGGCAGGAGGGTGAGGTGGAGGTGGAGGTGCATGTGACTCGGGGGGGGGCAGGGGAACACCGCACTCTGCTCAGATCACCATTCTGAATCCTCAAAGGCCTGTGCCCACTGGTCCCCACTTCCACGATCAACTCTGTGGCTTACGTCCCTCTGTTCAATTCCCCCGCAACCCCCACACACAATTGCGCCATTGTTGGCGCAGAGCGGCCCCCACTCTGTCTCACGGGGCCTTCCAGGGCTGAGGTGTCTTCCAAAGTCAAGGAAGGCTTCTCCTTTCCTTGACACCCCCTACCCTGTCCGACCCAGAAAGCAGGAGACCCAAGGAACACACACACCTGTCAGGCTGCACACCTCAGACTCCATCCTTCGGGTGAAGAAAGCCTTGTTTTTCTTCCTTAGGTCAACCCGTGCCACACACCGGTAATGGTGCCTTTCTATCAAACTGAAGACCCAAAGCTGAGAAAGCAAAACAGGTAGACAGGAGTCTCTCTCAACACTGGTGCTTACGAAAAGAGTGAACACCTAAAGAGGAGAGTGGGTCAAGAGCAAAGAAGTTGTGCCCTTCATCTTCCCTCAGTGATGCAACTGAATGTCCTCTGGTCCCCAGGGGCACTCCCAGGTCCCTTCCCCCATGGACGCCAGTCTCAGTGTACCTGCTTGTGATGGGCAGTCAGTCCCAAACACTGAGGTCAGGTCAGACACCACCTCAGCTGTATGTGTCCACGTGGGGCACTGCTCCACCTATGAGGTCCCCATGGCCTACACCCAGTCTCCCCTCCAGGCCACACCAGGGCCTCAAAGCCATGAGCATTCTGACCACACCACTGGCAATGAGACCTGGTTAACAGCAGTCAACTTTGTCAAAAAGAAAATAAATTCATAACCCCCACAAAAAAAGAAATAAAAAACAATAAACTCTATTAGCTTCCAAAAGCATATCTTTCTCATATTGTATCAACAACGACTTTACCCATGCTTTGTGAAATAAACCTAAAATGCTCACATAAAAACTTTTTTTGAAACAGATTAAGTATGATATTAGTCAGCTTCTGGTTGCTGTGACCAAAGGACATGACAAGAACAACTTGGAGAAGGAAAAGTCTACTTTGGCTCCTGGTTTCACAGGTTCAGTCCAAGGTCAGCCTCCTCATAGCTCTGACCGACAGGTGAGAAACAGCAGCTGGTGGAAGGACCTGGTGAAGACAGTCAAGAAGCAGAGAGAGCTTGGGCAAAGACCAGGGGTAACATAATTCCTAAGGGCACGCCACCAGGGATCTACTTCCTTCAGCCCCACCCTCCGTTCAAATGATTAACCTGTCGAAAAGATCCATCCACTGATGAGATCACATTTCTCAGAATCTAATCTTTTCACCTTTGAACATTCCTGCATTGTCTCACCCATGAAGTTTGGGAAACATGTAGTATCCAAACCATAATATTCTGCCTCTGGTCTCCAAAATCTCATGCTCCTCTTACAATGAAAAACTATATTCAGTTCATTTTCAAGAGACTCCATAGTCTTCAAAGTTCCAGCATTGCCCAAAAGTCTGAATCCCAAGTCTTATCTGAGACTCAAGGCAAACTCAGCATGAGTTCCTGCAAAGATCAAACAGCAAATTATATCTAGCCAATATATGAGGCACAGAATAAACATTTCCACTCCACATGGAAAAAGAGGTGAATAGAAATAATGAGTGGGACAAAAGCAAGACCAAACAAGGTCTAAGTCCCACAGCTAGCATCTGGGACATGTGACATCCTGATGTTCTCTCCAGAGGGCTTACATAGCTCGGCCCTAGGCCCTTGCTGATTGCAGCCCACATGGCCTCTCTTGCCTTTCTTGGCTTGGTGTCTGCAACTTTGCTCAGTAGACATTCCATATTAATAGCATCTCTTAGTCTCAGGTGTCTTCACAGCAGCTGCGGCTTCCTGCTCACATAGCACAGCACTTTGGGGGTAGCCCATTGGAACTCTGACCCTGCTATATATTGCCTGGCCTCCCAAACCATGAGCCAAAATAAACTTTCCTCCTCTAAGTGTTTGTGTCAGGTCTTTTTGACACAGCAACCAAAGGCTGACTAATACAATAATAAACTGTTTCAAAAAGTTTTTATATGAGCATTTTAGGATTACTTCACCAAGTACTGAATATGGGTTTCCTTTGAAGTCTCCAAGACCCCACACTTGAGTGTCCTGAATTCCTGCAGAATGAGCATCACCTGGATGATACCAAGGTCTGCTGATATCTGAAGCAGCAGCCGGGCTCCTGGGACCACAGCTGCAGTGCCTTCTGAGTGCATGGAGGACTGAACAGAGCTGAAACAACTACTTAGGTGCCCCTATATAAGCAGGATTCCCATGGTCTCTTCTCAAAGGGATTTTTATGTTTACACCTTTGATTCTGAGATAGGTGTAATCTTGCCAATTCCTTTGAGACCTTCAAACTGTCTTTCCTATTGTGTAAAGTATTTAGCATCTCTTTAGCAGCTTTAATCTCTTCAACAACCATAACTTCCTTCACCCAAGTTTCACATGCACTTTTCTGGCCAAATTTTAAATTTTTTCAATCATTCCACTCCACTTTCTACTCCTGATTCTCACAGCAAACTTAATTAAACTGCCAGCAATATCCATACCACCATCTGAATGCTATGCTGACGTGAAATTTCCTCTACCATACTAATTAATCCATTAGTCCATCACTAATTTATCATTAAATTTAGCCTCAAAGAAAGTCTCAGGACATGGGGGAAATGTCATAAATGGCCTCTAGTCCTATTTCCAATAGAGTCCTCCTCCCCTTCTGGAACCTCAGGAGCACAATCTTTAGTGTTCACAGTCCTACTGGCATTCTAGTCTTCTGAGCTTCCACAAGAAATGACCATTAAGCTCTGCTTAAACATTCTAAGGTTTCTCCAGTCTGCATCTCCAAACTTTTCCAAACTCTTCCCACAAACCAGTTCCTAATGCCTCTGAACCACATCACAGCAACAACCCCACTCCCAGTACCAATTTCTGCATTATCAACTCTTTGTCACTGTGACCAAAATACCTGACAAAAACAACTTAGAGGAGGAAAAGTGTATTTCAGCTCATGGTTTCAGAGGTTCAGTCCATGGTCCGTCAATTCCATAAGCTCTGGACCTAAGGGGGAAGAGCATCACGGCAGAAGGACATGGCAGAGGAGAGCTGCTCCGTCTTCTACAGCCAGAAAGCAGAGAGAGCTTGAGTGCGAGGAACCAGTAATAGCATAATTAACCAGGGCAGGGCATCTACTTCCTCTCATCACACCCTATCTGCCCACAGTTGCCATTAGTCCATTCAAATGACTAATCCACCAAATGAGTCAATCTACCAATGAGCTTTCACGATCTACTAATCTCACCTCGAGCAAGCTTGCTTTGCCTCATGGTAAGCTTTCAGGAGACACCTCATATCCAAACAAATATCTGCAGTTTCCAAAAACTCTATGATGCTGTTGCTAATGGTCACATGAGTGTTTCTCATTGTCTGTTATACTCCAGAGTCACATGTGGCGCTGGCAAAGCACGCAGATTTATCCATCTTCTCTGCAGACCCATGGCCCAGGCATGGACTACAATCCCCTTTGCTCTACCATGAGCTGACTTGCACAAAGAGTCCCCATCCCAGGACTGAGGGTGAACAGTTTCTTCAAATCACAAAAAATTCACGATAATAAGGAAGCAAAGACCTTTTGTGCACAGGTTCACGTGCAGCAATATCTGAAGGTAGGCTCTAACTACACGGCTCTCTCACCTGGCCATCAGCACACCCTGTGAGAAGCTGCTTACTGTCCTCATCGATGAACAAACTCAGGAGAGGATATGCTGTGGGAAGGAGCACAAATGTAGTTGAGAAACTGAGGTGACCTTTGTTCTTAGAAAACCCACAGAGTGTCCCTAGGCACCTAGCTATTGTGCTAAGTCATTTGTCCGTGAATAACAGGAGAAGTCTGTACAGCCAGATATCCCTGACTGCAGTGCCAGATGTCCTAGACTCAGCAATGAAGTTCCTGGAAAGACCGAAGAATGCTTGAGGCCTAAGTTCTGACCTAATGACCCCCAGCAACAACCAATCAGCATGAGACAAGGAAGATATCTGGAATGTCAGGATTGATTGATAACACTGATTGATAACATGATTAGGAAACCCTGCAGTTTAGCAAATACACTCTTGCAACCCCTCGCAGCCTAAACCAATCAGTTCAAACGTATCCACCACTTGAACCAACCAATCACCCTTCCCGACTTGTTCCCGCCAATGAATAGGCCAATCAACGTTAAGAGTTGTGCTTGATTTCCCCACGATGTGAAATGATTTGCTGTGTGATGTTGTGATGCATAGAGTATCCCCCAAACCTATAAATCCTCACTGAACTAAGGGCCCGGACTCATTCCTCGGGACCACTGCGTCGGAAACGGTTGTGAGTCCAGGCTTGAGCTTGTAATAAAGACTCTTGTGTGACTGCATCAGATTCAGCTCCTGGATCACAATCCCCACTGCTCTGGAGGCCTACTGGGGTCCCACAGATCTGGTTTAACATAGTCAGCACCCCAGCGCCTGGCTCCATCAAGCTGGACCTGAGGCTCCCTGACAGCACTCCTGTCAGACACTCTCAGCTCTTCTGAAATAACTTCCTCACCAAGGTCTAAGAATACAAAGTGAGTGAATACAAAGCTTGAAAACTACACAAGCATAAGGAAAGACAGGGAAGTAATCCCAAATTAAAACCATGGGGTGGCTACGAGTTAGCTGGCTACAGGCAGAACCAAAAGTATTGCTTCTCTTCCGCCTGCACAAAGCCTGCTGTGCCAAAGCACATCCGCTGCACCCATCCAACAGCTGTGGGTGGGAGCAGGCCCAGGAGCTCCGTCAGCAGGTCTCATGGGGCAGAGCAATCCTCCGTCAGCCAGGAGTAACTAAGTGACTCGAGATAAAAAGAGCAACTAAATGGATGTCTTGTTTCTTTAAAAATTGTTGCCTAGAATCATTTCCTTCAATAATTTAGGAGAACTAGATAAATGATATTAGAAAACATTCTATGTCCTAAGTAAGCTATGACATCCAAGATCAAGAATCAGGAATGCCCTGGATGCAGACACCTCTAAGTCCTGCTGCCCCAGGGGCACTGAACAATTACTGCATTCCACAGAACTGGGATGAGGGTGGCTCCAGGAACAGGCGTCACGAGGTGGGGCTGAGCTACACTCCCCTGTTCCTTTGCAACCCTACCCCTTTGCCCTTTTGGGGATGTTCTATGGAACCTCCCCTTGTGTGTCCCCTAAATAAGAATGAAGAATTCCTATGGCTCGCTCTCTCTCCACAGAAACTTAACTTCACAGAGCTGTCCCCGGATTATTGAAAAGGTCCTTCTGTGTGGTTGCTGCTTTCTTGGTTGTTTTCTTGAGTTATTGGAATAGCCAGATTTTGTGAACCCAGCATTAGGTGGCCAGCGGGGATAATGGCAATAGTCAAGGGCAAAACTGTGTTCTTTTTGTTTGTTTGTTTTTATTTTTTATGTGATGTTGAAGATCAAACCCAGTGCCCCACGTATGCCAGGCGAGCACACTACCGCTTGAGCCACATCCCCAGCCCCACAACGGTGTTCTTGATAGTCAAACAGTGACTCCACATAACTCATTTTGAGAAAATCATTCCAACACACTTCCAAGAAATGTGTGTTACCCCTGAGACTGGTAAGTTATTCACACCGTTAGGTCTCCTGTTCCGCACCCAGACAGACCTCGGGGTACACCACAGTCTTTGGGAAATACAAGAGAGGCTCTACCAGGTCACCAGGTACCTTCCCATCTAGGTGGCACTGCAATTTACTCAACCCGGGAAAGAGCTCCCCATTCTAGTCTCCCGCTTTCCTTCCTCCAGTGAGATAGACATGCACACAAGGAGCCAAACCAAGCCCCAGGATACCAGCCCAGGAGCTGCTGGGAGACGCAGGTGTGGGCTAGGTAATCCTAGGGCATCACGCACAACAGCCCTCCCATACTGTGAGGAGATCAGACCCCAGAGACATTTCACATTGCCTAACATTCAGGCCCTCGTTGGAGTAATCATGTGTCGGTTTCATGTGCCACCAAAAGACACGATTACCCTGAAATCATGAGCTGTACAGATGCTCCCATCCTAAGTAGTGGGGTGGAGCAGGCCAACCTTCCTCAGCACACTCTGGGCCAACGCAGGTGATACCTGACGAAGTCCTCACACCCCAGGCCTTGTCTCTAGGGGACAATGGAGAGCTCACACTCCCTGCAATCAGGCACTGAATCTGAGAGCCAACGACTGTGCACCTTTCTAAACAGAGAAGTTCAGACTTCAAGTGTGTGTTTAAGTTGAAACTCAAGGACATTAACTGTGAGTGAGTCTGTTCAGTCTGTGGATGGAGAAAGCAGGTCTTTACTCAGGAGGCTGGTGGACTCAGGTCCACCACCTCAGGAGCTGAATGCCTCACAGCCTACTCAGCAAAGCCAGAGGACTCTTGAACTTACCTGCAAAAACAGATGAGCTGTACACTAATGTTCCCATACAGTGGTCCCAGACCTTTGGACAAACAGACATTTCTTCAGGAAAGGTAAAAATCTTGCCATTACTGCTAAACCTCCAACTAAATTCTACCCAATTACAAATTAATCTATGTAAATAATTATAAAAACTGAAAAATGAAAATATGCAAATAGAACTATAAGTGTTTTCAAACCATTAGGTCTCTCTGTTCTGCACCCTGATAGACCGACCTCGGGGTACACCATAGTCTTCAGGAAATACAAGAGAGGCTCTACCAGGTCACCAGGTACCTTCCCATCTAGATGGCACTGCAATTTACTCATCCAAAGTAAATTGTCAAAGGGTGTCAAAACCAAGACACCACTTCAATCGTCTCTAACCCATGGGGAGAGGGGACTTCCATCCTCTCTAACCCAGGGGAGAGGGGACTTCAACCGTCTCTAACCCACAGGCAGAGGGGACTGAAGACACAAGCCCAGGACAGGTGGGAAACAAGCCTGCGTGTGCAGCCAACTGCCCTATGGGGGGCATAGGTGGAAGGCAGGAGCCCCTCAGCAGGGCTGCACCTGATGGGCACCCTGTCCACTGAACATGTGATTGAGCACCACACGGTGCGTCCACGGGGTCAGACACTAACCAGCACCTGGGGGAGTGGGCAGTGGGAAGGACACAGCGGGAGAGGGGACCTGGCCACTCCCTTATCCCCAGTCCTTGGGAGAGATCTGGAGAGTGACCTTGGTTGTGAAGGAAGTCCGCCCGCCCAGCGGGCACGGGCCTCTCACACAGCTCCCCCACCTCATAAGCACAGCTCGGCCCCCTGTTGCGTCCCGATGGCCACCTCAGAGGAGTCCTCTGGGTGAGTCCTCTAAGTGCTCTCCCTGAATCTGGTGAACAGTACAGGTGGGGCGTTGGCTGGGCTCGAGTAGGGCAGCATCCAGCGGCAGCTGGTCAGGGGTGCAGCTAGGACGTCTGTCCCCACACCTGCACCAGAGCAGGGGAGAGCAGTGCCCCGTGGTGGTCCACTTCGGCTTCACCACACAGGTGTTCCAAAACGACCAAGGCAGGCACCTAACGAGTCATTTTTCTGATAGATGTCGCGACCCTCAATTTTCCTTCCAAGGCAGTGTATAAAGTCCTCCCTTGGTTAATAAAATCCCAACAATGTCAGCTGACTTGGGCCTGAGGGGACAAACTCGCATTTTCCTCTATTTCCTTTAAGCATGGATTAGTTCTCATTGAACACCCCAGTTCTGAACACTGGGTCTTCTGCTCTCAGTCACCAGAAACACTGGATTATAAATTAACTCTTTAACTCTCAAGGTCGAGGGTCTGAGGAGAGTTCCTGCAGCCAGTCACATCTGTGTGGGAATGCAACAGGCCAAGGAGCGAGCCGCTGGGAATCCCAACCCAGCTCCCAACCCCTGCCAGATTCCTTTTTTGCATGAAAAGTAGAGAAATTCCCATTTCTCTGCTTTCTTATGTAAGCGCACTAGCAACAAGCCACACATGGACAGTGATCGTCAAACAACAACGCACCAATGTGCTCGAGCCTTTGCCCAGTATCAGAAATCAGCCCGGGGCCCACCCTACCTTAAAGCTCCTGTCTTCAGACACTGAAATGAGGGTTTGTCCCTGCCAGGGACAAAATTCTGCAGCGGTCACTGGGCCCTGATGGCCCTCCAGTTCCACCAGCACAGATGGACTCTAGGAGAATTGTGAAGAAGATTACTGGAGGGATGTTCTGGAATGAGTATCATCAAGAAGTCATAGTATACCACAGAGAGTCGTCCCTGCTGAAACAAGTTCTACTTTACGTGTCCACTCTTCCAACTGTGGAACTAGTCCTGTGTAAGCCTGGAAGTGAGGATCCCAAAGGCTGAGTTCCCGGGGGGCTCAGGCTGGCGCACGTCAGCAGGACTGCAGCAGACGGCAGCCCAGCACCAGGCCCGGTGCCCCACGCCCAGCACCTCTACTGCACCCTCCTGAGGCTGCTTTCTGCTGCCAGAGGCCCCTGGTTCCTGTGGGAGGGTGCCGGGGTGCTCCAGTGTCTTCCTCTGACTTATCTCCCTGTCCCCTCCTCTCTTCCCCCTTCCCTCTCTCCCTGGACACACCCATGATGTCTTCTATTCTCCCAGCCTCTGCTGTCCACGAGGGAGTCACTGAAACACAGCACACAGCACGCAGACTCCCCCCACAGCCCAGCGGCAGCCCAGGGGCCAGCACTAAAGCTCAACTCTGAGATGGCCTGAGAAAGAGGCGGAGAGAGCACCAGGGGCCCCAAGAGCCACAGCCACCTCCCATCATGTGTCCCTTGGGGTCCCAGCACCTGTGGGTGGGGAACTCTCCTCCAACGTTATGGCACTCAATCTAGGCAGGAGAAACAGCCCTGATATTCAGAACACAAATATGTGTACATGCATATAGAGAGAGACTTAACTTGCAGACAATGAACTTTAAGGACTTTCCTCAATAATTCAACAGACAACCTTGACAAGCACATTGTGCCAATTGCCATCTGACAGTTAAGGACAGCAGGTGAGATGATAATGCATGGGGGTGAGGGTAGCTGGAGGCTGTTCTGAAGCACACGCTTCTGTTCTCTCTAGTTTCACTTGTCTACACATAACATTACATCCTGAAATGCACTGTAAGTCATATCCTCTAATAGCTTATGAATGTATTTCATAATTAAACCCTTCATATTCTCTTGTAACTTTCAGAGCAAACTCTGTCATGGGTCACTGCTTCCTTGCTGATGCTCTGCTCAGAGCACCTGAGCCGGTCAAGGGCTGATTCAGTCACTTGGCAGTGTCCACTCCTGTCCACTAAGATCCACTTGCTTGGTGAAGACCCACAGGTCACCTGCCTGCTGCTGAGGAAGCCCCAGGCTGGCGGGGGCTGGAGAGCCTCTGGAGCAACTGCTGCCAGCTCTGGTTCTCAGGGAGCTTCAGGTGTGCGGCCAGGACCGCAGCCAGCACTGTCCCCTGTCCCTCTCAGGGCACTCGATCCTCAGGCAGGTGATGACAATATTAAGTACCTTCCCATTCCTTTTGGTTTTGCTTTTCCTGGCATAAGATGTCAATCCTTTCATGTTAGTGATTTTCTTCTTGAGTCGTAGAGTGACCCAATGCTGCTCAATAACCACACGTTTGCACTTTGTATCCTTAGTGCCCAAACATGGGCTTCTCAACTGCTGACAGGAACTCCTGGAGCCCTCTGCCACACACACGACCCACCTCCTCCAAGGTCTACGACCCACGTGACGATGCTTACTTCACTTAATGTGAGCCTCGGTTTCACATCAGCTCCAAAGTCACCTGGAGACAAGAAGGTCTTCTCTGTGTCCCCAAATGCCAGCACACACTGGGCATGATAAACATTTGCCATTTTACACCTGACACCTTCCTCCTCTATGTGCTTTAAGGTGGTTGGTCAAGGAAAGCTACAGCACCAAACCCACACCATGACCTGTGTAGATCCAGCAAACAGATAGCAAGGTGGGGTGCCAGACTTGGGGAAAGCCCCAATCTGCATCTCAAGCACTATATGCACCCAAAGGGAACAAAGTGCCCTCCTTCACGCTCCCACATCCCTTCCCACGCCCACTCAGCAGAACTTACCAGGAGTCAAGCGCCAGCTCCAGACGAGCATTGTGTTTAAGACTGCCAACCTAGAGGGGGCTGCTGTCACTCCCCCTAGGCCCAACCAGGAGGTAAGTGAGCATCCCGGTCCTTTGTGGAAACAGGCTCTGGCAAGAACGTGGATGTGGCACTCTATACCACAAGGGCTCTGAAGAGATCCCCAGGGTAGAAGCATACTCAAGACATCAAAGTTTTACAAGCACATGCTCAAGTCATCCCTGAAGTTCTAATGATTTATCTCAACAGTGCTCTTTAATTCCAGCAGCTTTCCAATCTCAAGCTAAAGGTGTATTTTCATTAAATCTTTATAAAAATACATCAAACTAAAACTGCTACTTTAAAAGGAAGAGCAGAAAATTTTTTAAAAAGGAGGGAGCAGGGTCTAAGCACCTGAGTGGCCCCACCAGCCCTGCACCTCCCGGGTTCCACAGTAGCCAGATCTTACCTCCACGTCCAACACCAACACTCTGCTGCCAGCACATGCTGCAACAACACGGTCGTCTGGACTAAATCTTAAATACAGCACTTTTTCCAAAAGCGTACCCATGACGGTCCCTCGAGGAACCAGCCCTGGAGAAAGTTTCAGGCATTAGTTCGGCAGTCACACAGCTTGGAAACCACAGAAGGGTGATAGTGTCATTCTCTACCCTGACATCACCAAGGGAAGCACAGCCACTTTGGGATGATTCTGGTTCTTTCAAAGTATCCAGATAACTGAAAGTGTTCGGGGCTCAGGACCTATTCTGGGTGGTAGAGGGACCATATGCTTTCAGAGTCCCACCATAAGGACATCCCCCAGCCAGCCTGCAGGGCCCAGGGGGTTGTGGTCAGCACCAGGAGTGGAGCTGGCCCAGGAGTCCCGCCTTTTCATGTGGCGCTGTGCCCAGGGCCCACCTGTGCAACAGAGCAAGCACTGCCTGGCAACTGTCCTGGCCCCTGCCCTGGCACCTGCCCTCACTGCAGGCACCAGCAAGGCAGTGTCTCCAGCCACCCAAGACACTTCACAGGGATGCGTGTGTGTCACTCCAAGTGTGGCTGTGGCCAGGTCACCCCTCTGGACTCACTCAAGGGCTCCCTAACAAGCACCTCACCATGCCAGCCTCTTTCCAGAAACTGGGGATAGCACCCACGGGACAACTCAGTCAGGTAATGAGGAGACACAGAAAACACCAATAACCAAAGAAAACAGCCATGGAGACTACCAAAGGGAAACTCTGCTACGACAGAGACCAAGCAGGAGAGGCAACTGGGTGCCAGGTGGTGGCCAGAAATGGCCCATGACAAAAGAGACACAGGCAGAATGGGCAGTGGCTCGGTGCAGAGGTGTCACATAAGCAGATGGAGCCACAAGGGGAGGCACTGGGGCAGGACTGGTCTGCACTGCTCCTCCAGCTGGGGGGGGGGGGGGGTGCAGCTTTTGGACTCATGCTCTGCAGGAGGCAGGGGCCCTGGAGGGCTCTGTGCAGAGGGTCCCGTAAGCAGACTGACTTTAAAGGACGTTCTGGCTCCTGGGTTGAGTGGGCCTGGGGAGGGCAGGGAGGAGGGAGACTGGGAGAGGCTGATGCAAAAATCCAGATGAGAGACTGGGGGCAAGCCTGCATGCAGCCGTGGGGGTGCCAGGAGTTTCCAGGGGCGGCTGTGGCTTGAAGGTGATGTAGACAGAACTTGATGACACAATGGAAATGGGGTCGAAGGCAAGGACACTGAAGGTTCTGACCTGAATGCCAGAGGGAGGGAGTCTGGGTGACCCCAGAGGGGAAGGCAGAGGAAGAGGTTCTGTGGGAAGGCAGGTCCACGCTGGCCATCCTTCATCCTCTTAGACATCGGGGAAATGTCCAGAAGGGGTTACACGAGAGGCTGAGTCAAGAGAGGGGGCCCAGCCAGGGAGCAGAGGGTGCCATCAGCACACAAACTATGAAAAGCCAGCAGCCTGGCTCCAGTCGTGGAGACAGGGACTTTGACGAGACAGGAGAAGCCTGCACCACACCATTTGGGGCTAGAGGAGGAGGAGCTGGCAGGGAGGTTGCAGGCGAGTGGCCCCTAGGCTCAGAGGTCTGAGCTAACCAGACCCAGAGGCCAGTACCTGCCGTTCTCCAAGTCCAAGCACAAATCCAATCAGCATCGGACTCGGAAGTCCTGGGAACTACGCTCTCCAGCCCAGCGTACCCACGAACCAAACACATCTATGCCAGTTCCCGCGAAAGACTCGGGAGCCACATCAGTGGCTTCAGCTAGTGAGGACCACTGTGCCAGTTGCAGGAGAGTCTGTCCTCACTCCACTGAAGCTCCAGAACACCAAGGTGGACACCTGCAACCTGACTCTGCTCACCCAGTGCTACACCTCAGGGCTGAAGTTCTGCTCACCGTCCTGGGAGCACACCAGGTGGGAGAGAAAGTCTGTGGGAGCCTCCAGTGAACAGCCCAAAAGAAGCTCACAGGCACAGCTCCTTCTGCCTGGGAAGGCTGCCTATCTACAAGGATCTCTAGAACGAGTCACCACCAGGGGTTGCACCCCTACGTGAGCACATATGTAGTGCACGTGTCTGAGCGTGCTGACGGCAATACAGACACTGGAAATACTGACACTGTGCAGATTAAATGAAGGTGGGATATACCCTATTACCCCGCTGACTGAGTGAGCACTTTGCATTTTTTAGAGTAGCCTTACAAACTCAAATTCCTCTATGTGGTCCCCACCTAACTTGTCAGACTCACCTGGCAACGTTCTCCTAACAGTGCCATGCATCTCACAAGACCTTCTCAGTTCTCCCACTGAGGCCAGCGCCTCGTGCCGAGAGCCTGTGTGTGCCCCAATGCCAGCCCCATCCCCAGCTCCGGTGCCACACCCTCAGGCCCACACAACATGGAAGCCTCCATGCCCACCTTCTCTCTGCCACCCTACACATGCACGCCCACAATTCACAACCACTTGCGTGTCCATGGGGGTGTTCTGTCTCACACTCTGAGCCGTAAACACCACCACAGTTGACACACCCTGCCCCTTCACCCTGTCTCCAGCTCAGAGACACCCATGTGACCCTGTACCTAACCATATGTCTTCAGATCGTCATGACATTCCGGGTTTAAAATAAGAAAGCAAAGAAGAAAGCTCAAGAGCCTTCAACCGGGAGACTGTGTGTCAAGTGGGCCAGTCTGGGGCAAGGTGTGTTTAGAGGCCTGCCATCAAATGAACAGCCCCAGGATCCGAGCTCCTAGGATAGGCAAGTACGCTTAAGGATGATTTTCCCTTCTGAATATGTTTTAAAATGTGTTTTCTATTTACCTTTAAGTGACTTCTCTCTGCATTCATCCAGGTTCCATATCATAAGATAATCCTGTGATGCAGAACAGATTAGAGGTGGATTCTCTTTATTTCCAAAAGCCATAGCAGTAATTGACTGAAGGTGTCCTTGTAGGATTAGAAGCTGAAAAAAAATTTAAACCAAAATAACACAGATTACATTAACACCTAAAAAACAAAAGAGCAAAACAACATTATTTCAAACCTAAGAAAGTAAATAGATGGGCTTTTCAAATATATTCATTTCATGTTTTCATTTTGAATTCATTCATTAAGATTCCTGCTTATGTACAGTGAATTATTCTCAAGTTAACCATGTCACTGAATACACGGAGGGCAAAGTTGCCCAAACAGCATCAAAGAAATGGTGGCAGGGGGCTGGGGGTTGGTGACCTTGGACTTAGGAAAAACACCTGCCCCTGGTTGACCACCTGGTGAGAAGGGTCCCTGATGCTCCACAGGCAAAGCTGGTTCCCATCCAGGGGGAAGGCACAGTACAGCATGCTGCAGGCCAGCTGCACATGAGACGCAGGCTCCTTGGACTCAGCCAGGTACTTCTCTGTAATCATAGTGTCCTCACAGTCACCGATGCAGGACACCTCCTGGGCCATTTTCAACTTTGATCTGAAAACACAAAGCACAGGAAAGATGATGCAGGTCTTATATTTGCACAACAAGAGTCTTCTGTTCACCACTGTTAGCACGACTACTTGCATCACATCATATCTAAATGACACACCTCCTCCACCCCAAGAAGGAAATCTCTAAAGGAGCTGGAGGCTCCAGATCCATGGCCACCCACTCCCCCAGGGTCTTTCCAATTAGCAGGTCTCTACTGGACCCCACACTTCCCACCTCCCCAGTCTTCTTCCAGGACCAGGAAGTGAGGGCAGCTGCCTCACAGAAGCGGAGACACAACAGACCTCTAAGCTACTGCATAAAGCCTTCAAAACACCAGTGAGCAGACCAAATGCTGCCATCATCTTCCATCTGCGCATAGCCAATGAGCCGGAGGTAAACGGCATGCAAACCCAGATGGCTGAGGGCTAACCTGTCATCGACACTAAGTTAGCAAGTGCGATCAGTGAGGCACAGCCATGTCTTACAGTAAGAGTGAAAGCTAATAAAACAGTGACAACATTAAAAACCGTTTCAGATTTTCTCCTACTACGTACTCTGGAGCTTCATAAGTGTAACCACCACAGACACATGTGGCATGGCCTGGAGGCCGTGGACTCTGCACTGCCCCATGCTTCCTGACTCGCTCACAGACCTCTGGGTCATCCTGCTGGCCTAGCTACCTGGTGGTCATGTTGCCCACACACAACCTAAGGGTGACAGGGTTCATTCAGTTTGGAGAGACCTGACCAGGGCTCAGGAACAAAGTAACAATAGAGGAGCAGGAAATGGACAGTGGGCCAGAAAGGAGGGCACAGTGAAGGACAGAGATGTGCAATGTGCAAGGACGCAATGTGCCTGAGGCCATGGAGGAGCCGGCACAGTCAGCAAGCAGGGCACCACAGACGGGCTCGTCTACCTCAGCTGACCCTGGAGAGCTACCAGAGGTTGCTGAACAAAGAAAGAACGGTACAGCTGCCATTAGGAAAACCCCCACGTTGGTCAGGCAGCTCCCAGCAGCCCACTCACACTCCAGTGAGACTGTGCCCACCTGTGCCCGAGCACTGCCAAGACAGCTGTGAGAACGTCCCCAAGAGGAAGTGCCACGCCGTCCCTGCCTTCTTCAGTCAGGCACACTGACGGGGCCGAGCCTTGAAATCCACGCGTGGCCCTGAGACTAGGTCCTGCATGCGCTGTGGCGAGGTGGCCCCGAGCAGGCCTGCCTTCCTCGTCCATTGTCCCAGGCCCCACCACACTGGCTCTCTGGCTCATCCCTCACCCTGACACGTGCTGCTGCAGCCTCTCCACCTCTCCTTGCCCTCTCCTGCTGAACTGCCTGGCCCCTCTTGGTGTCTTGTCAGCACCTCAGGACAGCACAAGGAAACCGAGAAGCTACAATCACCTCCCGGAGGAGGTGAAGCTACAGACAGGGAATCCATGTCACCTCCTAAATGCAGCTGAAGCACACAGGTTAACCAGGAAACAGCAACACAACAGACCCTGCAGATTATCTCCCGGAAAACAGTCAAAACAATTGATAAGCAACTTCAGTAAGAGACTTGGTTAAAAACGCGTGTCTCAGAATTGAGGCCCAGTTATCAGGAAAGCAAGGAATAAAGATGAATATGGAGACACTGACCTCACTCTAATGGATGCTCTGTTATGATAAGTGAAAGTCAATTTTTAATGACTTGGAAATTCTCACTATTTGAAGAAAAAATATGTTGACTATTTTAAAGCACATTTGTCACCAACTCACAATTCTGGTTTCACTTATTTCATATTTACGGAGATACAGTGAGTATCATAAAAAAATCAGAAACACTCCAAATGTCCCAACAGCAATGAAATGTATAAAAAAAATCCTGTATTCACACAAGGGGGCGCCCTGCAATAATAACAAGTACACAGGAGTCACCTGGGATGAGGAAAGCCAGAAGCTCAAGCTGCTATGGACAGGAGCCAGCCAAATGACCCAGATGGTGTCTGTCTGGGAGGGAGGCCAGGTTCTGGGACTGGCGGATATGCTCCTGGACCGGAGAGCTGATCCAGCTATTCCCTCTGTGCCCCTCCACCTGATGCCGTGGACCTGAGTCCCAGTGGGCAAAGCTGCCCTCTGCTGGCTGCAGCCTGGGGGCTTGGGGCATGTGTGGTGTACACTGGCACATGAGACAGCCCCATAATCTGCATGCCATGACCCACAAGCACTGCCCTCTGGCAATGGGAAGCCAGCACTGTCCCTTCAGGCTGCCTCACTCCTTGGCCAGTGCTTGCTGTTCTGTCCCTCTGGTTAGACTATGCAATGTGCCTGATTCACACCCAGCTCTGCAAGGACAGTGCGTCTACTTTCTCACTGTTGTCTCGGTACCTAAAACAGGACAGGCACGCCACACTTACCTGCTGACCAAATGAATCTACAGCGCCCTCTAAAGGAGGGGCTGAGTGTGCACGGTCCCGGCATGAGGCACTCACAAACAGAAAGCCTGATACAAGTGGGCCACAGTCGCCAGCGTGCCAGCAAGAGTCCACTCGTGCTCAACTCTGTGCTTTCTGCTGAGCACTGTTTAATATCAGCTCAGAGATGAAGAGGTGTGCTCCCAGCCAGAGCCTGAGAACCATAGAGGCCACAGCCGTGTGCTAAACTGAACACCCCCCGCCCCGTGCTGTCTGCACCTGCTGGAGAAGCTGTGTATCTCAGCAGAGCCCTGCTCACAGAGACAAGGCCCTGCCTTCAAGGGAAACCACAGGGCTTCTGAAGAGGCCAAAAGGACCCTAGAAAATAACATCAGATCTGCGCTGACACTCTGAGTTGCAAGATTGCAATCTAGAGAACCACCACAAACTCGGAAAAACACTTAGAGCAAGCAATATCAAGGTCACATCTCACAATTAAAATCCTTGATAAAGCACCCAGAGACTGCTCTTCTGCTACCTTTCCAAATAATCTCTCTCTATTTTCCAGACACTGCACAATAATCCTGCAGAGGGGCCAGGTGTGAGAGGCCTCTGCACCATCTACGGTAGCAGGGGTCTTTCCGAGCACGGGACCTTGCCATCGCAGTGTGCACTCACTTTGTGGGGGTGCTAAAAAGGAGGTTAAATTAAAATGCGCCCTTGATGCCCCACAGTAGGAATCCACCTAGACTTGCCTCCTCTAAATACTTCAAGCCTGTTCTCTGTGCCACGAACACAGAAAGATGAGAAAAGCCAGCATTTCCACGGCCTCCAGAAGTATCTCAAGTCAAGGTAACAAGGAGCCAGCCTGGGTCCTCATCTCAAGAGTGGCATGAAGGAACAGCTGTGAGATAGTTAAAGGCATTTATGATATTTAAAATATGCCCTTGGACTCTTCCAGCCTATGAAGGAGACCCGTACATCTCTACTAAGAATCCAGTATTATCTTTTTCAAATGGTTAACAAATATATGAAATAAGTGTTCAACATCTCTAGCAATTAGAGAAATGCAAATCAAAACTACTCTAAGATTTCATCTCACTCCTGTCAGAATGGCAATCATCAAGAATACAGACAACAATAAATGTTGGCGAGGATGTAGGGAAAAAGGTCCACTCATACATTTCTGGTGGGACTGCAAATTGATACAACCACTATGGAAAGCAGAATGGAGATTCCTCAGAAAACTCCGAATAGAACCACCATTTGACCCAGCTATCCCACTCTCTGGTTTATACCCAAAGAACTTAAAATCAGCATAGTATACTGATGCAGCCACATCAAAGTTCACAACAGCTCAAATCAAAATAGCTAAACTATGGAACAAACCTAGGTGTCCTTCAATAGATGAATAATAAAGAAACTGTGTATATATATATTCAGTGGAATATTACTCAGCTTTAAAGAAGAATGACATTACGGCATTTGCTGGTAAATGAATGGAGTCAGAGGATATCATGCTAAACTAAATAAGCCAATCCCAAACAGCCAAAGGCCAAATGTTGTCTCTGATATGCGGATGCTAATTCACAATGGGGAAGGGGAGTGGGGAAGAATAGAGTCACTTTAGATCAGGTAGAGGGGAGTGAAGGGAGGTGAAGAGATGTGGGGTAGGAAGGAGAGTAGAATGAAGCAGACATTGTTACCTTATGTACATATATGACTGAATGACCAGTGTGATCCTACAACATGTACCATCAGAAAAATAGAAATTACATCCCATTTAGGTATGATATACCAAAGTAAAGAAATGCATTCTATTGTCATGTATAAATAATTAAAACGAAAGTTATTTTTTAGAATGAATGAATAGAAAGAGAGAGTAGACAAAAGCGAACCTCGGGAGGAAGGAGAGGAGGGCAGGGCAGCACTGGGGTCCACACTGGAGCAGATCACGAACATGTCAAAACGAACCCCACTGCCACACCCAGTGGGACACCCTGAGAAAGACTAGAACAACAAGGCCACGAGAAGAAAACGGACGTCCAACCTCCCGGCAGGACTTCATAGAATACTCCGCTCTAATTAGTTTGAAAAAAAAAAATCTCAGCACAAGCAGGAAACTAGCAAGAGAAGGCTCCGTGTGGGTCTTGGGTCCCTGAGCCACACCTCACAGGCAGAAGCGCGAAGCCGCGGCCTGAAGAGAAAGCCCTCCAGAACCCCTCCCAGCACTGCGTCCCCACGTGGCAGCAGGTGGGAGAGCCAGGTGGACTCTCGAGCGGGAGGGACTGGGATGTTGGGTGCCAGTGCAGCAGCAGTCAAGACCAGTGAGCCCAAGCCGCGCACACGGGTGGAAGGCGCACAGCTGAGCTGCGAGCCGTCATGGCAACCCTGCGGCTCCCTGCCCACACGCCGTCATGCCCGCTCACTGACACCCGCTACACACAGCAAGCACAGGGCTAAGCAAGCTGCAGCTGCCAGGGGACAGGAGTCAGAGGCACCGGGGCTGCAGCCACTGGCCAGTGCAGCCCGCCCTGCTCCTTGGCGGTAGTCCAGAAAGGCAAAGCTGCCAGCACTCACAAGAAGAGTCCTTCCAATGGACCCTCCACAAG